CCCACATTTATCATCTTGATGAAAACCTATTTAATTGCATCTGTCTCATTTACTCATCAGATGAAAACTGATGTAAGCTCTAGCAAAGTTTGCAGGTAAGACTGTTTACATGAAACCAGATATGGCACAGTTGGGGTTACGCATAAACGTATGCCACAGGTGCTTTCCTTACCAGCTCTGTGTGCTTTTCTCTTATAGTACCTTAGCCATACTTAAAATGTATCTAGACGTTCAGTTTTGCTGTTTTATGGACATATTTTAAGATTTCCATTTTTTCTTACCTCAATCAAATCAACAAGTGTAATGAGCAGCTGAGAACAGCCTTCTGGTCATGCTCTTCAGTGCTAGCTCAGCTACACTAACAAAGCATCCCTCTGGCCCCCCATCCCCAAGGAAACAGGACAGGAGCTGGTACTTTGGTCTTACCCTCTGTGTACAACCTTTAACAGGATCATACCTATCCCTGTGCACACTTCAGGGGATCCTGCTGATTAGCACAATGCAGTGCTTGCAAAACATAAAAAAAGTCTGCTACAGGTACAACCCCATGAGATGCTACATACGGAAAACTGTCAGTGTTGGTGAGGCATCTGGAACTGTGCTGTGAATGCATGTCTGCCTGGTAGCACATGTATTCTGAATTACAATTTTTCTCTAAAATGACACTGATTTAGAGTGACTGGAATAAACACAAGATCAGTTGCTGCTACTGAGGAACATGACCCCATGTGTACTGAACACCTTGTTATCAAAGCAAAATGTTCCTGAGCACAAGTGTTGTCCTTGCTGCACCCTTACAAGAGCAAGCTTATTACTGCTGCTCATCAGAGCACACAGCGTATGTGCCAAGTCTGCACACATGGCATGCCTGCAGCCCGGAAGTACACGGTCACAGCCACACATCACCCCTGTGCAAAGCGGCAGCACTTCAGAAGCACCTTAAATGCCTCCTGGTTCTTCTGCCAGGCTGCTCGTGGGCAAACCAATGGATTAAATTCCCTTCCCTGATTCTGTCCTGAAAGGCACCTGGAAAGCACCAACAATGAAGTAGCAGCCCAGCCTGTCACAGGCTATTCTGCTCCCAAGCAAAAAAGGGTGGCACATGACCCAAAGACAACTGTCCTAACTTGCCCAAGGAAGCACTGCATCTCTTCACCTCACTAAGCTGAACATTTTCAGCCTACTGCAGTGGGAAACCATAGGGACTACACATACAGAAAACAAAGCTAGAAATCCGCTTTGCAGCATCCCTCTAGATTGCCCTGTGCCACTATCCCTCTGACCTGCTGTTAGACTGTGATTTGCTTTCCACACACCAGGGAAAATTTACTTATGTCCTTTGCCCACCTCTGAACTTTCCCCAGCATTAAGCACTTAACGGAAAACACATCCAAGCACTGTCAATAGCAATTAGGAAATTCTATGTCACTGGTATAAATTCCCACATTACCATTAAGCTACCCCGTTTTTCTAATTGTTAACTATTCATAGTGTTAAGGCACAGTTTTCATGGGCCATGTTTGATCTCTGGATCTCAGAAGCACCATCTCTCCTCTAATGGAAGCTGTTATCAGCATCCTCGTCCTATAAGTATGGAAACCAAGGCAGGCACTGGAAGCCAAAGTGACTTGTCTAAGGTCATCCTGCTGAAGCACAGCTCAAAGCATCTCCTGCACTCCAGCACAGCGAGAGAGCAAAATTATCTTCTCACACCACTTATGCCATATTCTTGCATTTGTCTCTAAAGAGTTTGTAACAATTAGTTCACAAACATTAATCCACAGGTGTCTGTACCCCGTGCCCACAACAACAGACAATCTTACAGACCTAAGTGGATTTAGGTCCTAATGTCTTCTTTTACTGCCTTCCAGTTTCTTGTAACTCTCAGCAAGTATATTTGGGTACTGACTTATGCAAAAAACCCTGCTGCTCTCCTCTTTATGTACTGGACTGTTTTAACTGAAGCATGACACTGCAGAGCACACTATGAGAAACAGAAACATAGAACACCGGTTTGGAAGGGAACCTCAAGGATCATCTGGATGACAAGCATGACCATGTCCAGCACCCTGCCCAGCGGAATTTTTAAAGTCCTCAGAACCTGCCTGGGTGAAGTGAGGACATTAAGCAGAGAGCACTACAGGCCAGGTTGAATGGGGCTTTGAGCAACCTGGTCTAGTGGAAGATGTCCCTGCCCATGGCAGTGGGGTTGGAACTAGGTGATATTTAAGGTTTCTTCCAACCCAAACCATTCTATGATTCTGTATGTGCTGACCAAAAGCCAGAACAGGCATTAGCTTTTCCCTCACCAGCCCTGACACCATTTTGTTATTTGGCTGTTCACATATGCAGGCAGCCCTGCCCCACAAGCCAGAGCCCGAGCAGTGAGACACCATGAGAAGTCACCCCAGGCACACCAGTGCTGCACAGGCTGCCCCTGCAGCAGGTCAGGATGGGAATCTCTTGGACGTGCACCGCTGCACACATACCACACAAAGCACTGCGAGTCCAGCTCTGTCCTGGATTCACCCCGAGCTGATGCTGACAGACACATTTCAAAGGCCTTGCTTGGAAACCTTATGTTACTGGGACTTAGAAGTGCTACGGGTATGCGTGTGTGTATATATATATATATATATATATATACCGTTACAACGGGTGGGTGTGTATCATATGACCACGAACACATTCTATACACAGTATTGTTGTTTGCAAGCTCAGACTTGGTGCGTTTCTTACCCATCTGCCAATGTGCACTTACATGAGCGGCTGGCGAGCACCCCAAGGACCTGAACCGCCTCAGCTTTCCCTGCTCTCCCCCTCAGCCGGGAAAGAAAGGAGGGAAAGGAGGCAGGGAAAGGAGGCCGTGCACGGGGGACCCAAGAGATTCTTTTTCCCTGGCCCCGTCGAGCCCCTTTTGCGACCCGGCTGTGTCCTCTCTCAGCCCCCCAGCCCCGGCCCGGCGTCCCGCAGCGGCGGCAGCCGCCCTCACCTGGTGGCAGAGGATGGTTCGCTGGACCAGACGGGCGTAGCCGTCCAGGCGCACCCCCGAGTTGCTGCGGCTCCTCATCGCACCGCGGCCGGCCCGCTACCGCCTCAGCCGCCCCAGCTGCCAGGCCCGCCTCCAGGTCCCCGGTCGCGATCGGCCCGGCAGTTCCCGGAGATGGCGGCAGCTGCCTCCTCCCTCTCGACCAGCCAGCCTGCCCGGCGGGCGGTGCACCAACCCGCCCGCCCGCCCGCCCTCCGGCGAGGAGGGGCGGAACGGGGAGGGGCGGAAAGGAGCGCAGAGCCCGCCCTACTCCCTTCGTTCCTCCATCCTTGTCTGCGGCTTGGTGGGGTGGAAGGCAGAGCGAGCTCGGGGAGCCGTAGAGAGCAAGGGTGCTCATGGTGCTGGGCGGGATGCCCGAAATCACAGTTACAGCTTGTGGGAAGAAGGCGGCTTTACCTGCGGTGTTCCCAGCTGCTGCCCTGGGGAGCGGCAGGAGGAGGTGAGCGTGAGGGACGGCCGGCAGCCGGGACACCGGGAATGTCTGCGTCCAGGGGAGTAGCCAGGGGCAAAGGCAAGGCCCGGCAGCCTGAGCTGTGGCGCGACAAGTGATGAAAGCCAGGGTAAATGGTCCAAAACAAGGGCGATTTTATAGATCCTCTTCATTGGTGGGGCTGTAGTGGTAGGACAAGGGGTAATGGGTTAAAACTTAAACAGAAGAGGTTCAGGTTAGATACAAGGAAGAAGTTCTTTACTGCGAGGGTGGTGAGGCACTGGTACAGGTTGCCCAAAGAAGTGGTAAATGCTCCATCTGTGGCAGTGTTCAACGCCAGGTTGAACAGGGTCTTGAGTGACATGGTCTAGTGTGAGGAGGCCCTGCCCCATGGCAGAGGGGTTGGAACTAGATGGCCTTTCCAACCTAAACCATTCTATGGTTCTATAATGGTTCAAAAAGCCAGAACATTCATAAGATTTAAAAGATTTATTTATTTATTTTTAATGATTGGCTGGGTTTTTTAGCATTAAAAAATACCTTTACCAGGTATCTTCACACCCCAGCACTGGCTTTCCAACTCAATGAAGAAAAAGATGTAGAGATTTCTGATGGAAATGGACCTACTATTCCCATGGATGCACACTAAGGGCATTAGACAGTGGGTGCTTTGGAATTTTCCATGGCATGCCTTGTGCTTCCACACTGTAGTTCCTGACTATAGGTAGGGTGGGAGCCAGCAGAAAGAAGGGCACTCAGGCAAAGGACACCAAGCCTTAGAAACGTGACAAAGACTTTAAAACAAACCAACCCAAACCTACATGTGTTAAGAGTCCTGAAATCTTCAGTTAGTTTCCTCTGTGCTCCCCGTCACAGAGCAATGGGAAGCGTGGATTGGTGCTGAAGCACAGAAAAGATGTTGCAGAGTAGCTGGAGGTGTGAGGTGTGAGATTCACTCGAGCTTCATAAAGGTGGGTTGTTTCAGTTGCCTTTTTTGCTTTCCTCGTGTGCAATTACAGCATTAACACTTTTGTAGTTCTTTTTCACTGTGCTGACTTCATTGACTCTGTAACTGGCAGCATGGTTGACAAAACAATTTTCAAAGGAGGCCTGTTCCTTAAGGGGTGGCTGTCAAGACACTATTCTGGTAAGCACCCCACAGCATGAAGAGGACAGGGCACTGCTTAGGGGCTCCTAACTGTCAGCCCAAGCCCTGCAGCTGCAGCTCAGGGGAGGCTGCACAGTCCCACAGCATGGATCTGTTCCCTCTCTCCTAAGCTGTGCATGGGCTCCCTGCTCTAGGCAACTTTTTTACAGAGAGAATTGCACATGCATAGGGAACATGTTTGCTGAGCAGGGTGGTGCTAGCTGTACTCAGCCTGTTGCTGTTTATGAACGACCCCCTGGTGCTCTGGGAAGGGGTTGTGGCTTTCAGGGAGTGCAGGCCTGCCATGGCTCAACTGCTAGCAGCGGACAAGACACGAAGGGCCAAAAGGGTACTGTGACACCCAGTGTGCAAAAGCAGTCTCAGTTAGTTTAATGCTGAGAATTATTTACTGAGATAAAATAATATGCTGCTGTGGGTGCAAAACTTTTCTACAGTATGTGTGTGCTTTAAGTGGCAAAGTCAGAAAAGACCCCCCACCTCCAGAAATATATTAAATAAAATCATTAAAAGAATCATAACATGTTAGTGTGCAAAAAAATAGAAAAAGAGGAAGATTCCAAGCAGGTCAATGACAGTGGAATATTTCATAAGGAATTTAATTACTTAAGCCCAACTCAGCTTTGGAGGAGCTTCAGCAGACTTCAGGGCAAGCACTGTCAGGGTTTTCTCTGCTGAAAAACAGATCTGCTAGAACCACGAAAGGGAAAATATGTGGAAGACAATGAATTTAAGGGCTAGTCAGCATCCTCTACAAGAGGTTACATGCTGCAGCTCATGTAATCTGAAGAACTGTAACATGGCCCAGTATAACGACACATTAATTTAAAAGACAAAGTTTATGTATTTTATGTGTCGTACTTGCTGTAAATTTATTACTTTTTTTTTACAGTTCAAAATATAAATACAAGAACATTAAATAAATTTACAAGAAACAGTGCAAAGGCAATTAGCCAAATAGTCAAAGCATTCACAGAAATGCATTCCAGCTACTAGCATTCCAGGACAGTCTTTTATTAACATGCAGTTAAAACCTTGTGGATAAACACAACAAATACTTAAAATTCTCACTTTAAAAGTCTATTCAGAGTAGTTCTGGACGCAGGTGACCAAAATAACCTGTGCATTGCATACAGAACCACAAGAGGGCTTGAGTACTGAAGAGGTTCAATTGCTGAGCTACAACCAAGCCGCGGGTAGGAGGCATCTATCTGACGCTTTTTGTGGATAAGAGCAGTTCCAGGGCTCCCTACCGAGTCTTCTGGGAAAGCAAAGCCCTTTCTCGCCTCCACTGTGCATCTACCTCAAAAAATCTCCTTTACAGGGTCTGGTACTCTGCAGTGTGGCCCCAGTTTGTTCTAGCTCTAGCTCCAGGAGCAGCTAACCTTTGCACAGCTGCACACCTGCATGAGAATTAAGAGGTACAACTACAGCTCAGGCTAATTTCTGTTCAGTAAGAGTCTTCACAATGTTGTATGGGGCTTTCAGCTGTTGTGCATGAACAGCCAAAATCCAGCTTTTCAGACAAACAATCACAAAAGGGAACCAGCCAAGGGCCAGAGTACAAGCAGAAATACTCATTAGCATGTGTCAAGAGCTGCCCCTTTAAAAACAGCCACACAGCTCAAGAGCTGCCCCTTAAAAAATGGCCACACAATGGAACAAACGATTTCATGGCTACTAAATACAGCAGCTAGCATTTACCCTCTGTGTATATTTTCTTCTAAAAACAACTCTTCTCTACTTTATCATTGCAAATGAGAAATGGCAGTGAGTTTAATCTCTGGAACCACACTCAAGGTAGAATACTGACCCTGCTGAAATCAACACTAAAGTTCCCATTGACTTACTCAAGCCACTAACATAACTGAATTGTACTTAATAACCTACTATTTATCACTCCCTCATTCATGGCACTTGGATGATATCCAGTTTCTGTCCCTCTGTGGTGTACTGAGAGGTTGCTAAAGGTTCAAGACCAACAGAGTTTGTATTTACAGTTCTGTATCTAGTAAATATATTTAAAACACTGTAAGTGATTTCACTTCCTACAGAAATCAACTTCTGTCTCATTCTATGTTAATGATCTCAATTAAAGAAGAATTCAAACTTACAATAAACATTAAAACAAAATACCAATTATTTTTCTATACATAGGAATATTTAAATTTATATTACAAGAAATAAATATAAAAGTAACACTAAGATGCTTAGTTTGGGTTTTTCCTGTTTATGTACATCACTACAGAGTTTGCTTCTACAACGTACAAAAAGTTGAAGGTTGTATGGCTAACATTTTTAGAGATAACATCATTTCTACAGACAAGCTGTAACTTCCTACATTTCTATAATTCTACTATGCATTATATCCAGATAAATTTACTTGTAATAAAAAGTCTAATCAAAACTTTCTTTTAAATGTAAAAAAAGACCTCAAAATAAACCTCTAATGAAGAATCGTAATGGAAATGTGCCAGCTGTAATTTGACATCCACAGTAACTTGTCAAAATAGTAGCTCCCTTTTTTCTTCTTCTTTTTTTTTTTCTTAATAATAATTGTCCTTGTCAATTCAATGCATGGCTGCCTTGAAGTTCCAGTACCGTATGTTAAATAAAATCAGTTCTTGGTCTGCTCACATTATGTAAAACTGTTAAAGTAAATCTCTACTTCACACTGTAAACCAATATGCTGTTTAAAAGGAAATCACATTTTCTCGATAAAAGTTAGGCTTCCCCTCTTTGAAGTCCTTCTGAGCGAGATGTGGCTTTTTTGGCTGCCTGTATCATCCTTTTCTTGCAGTACAAGTTGTTTGCCTGAAAAGTCATGGAGACACAAATCACCATTCTGTACACTGAAAGAAACACCGTTCTTCTCACTGGCAAGATGGCCTGTTGAAACAGAAAAAAAGTGCATCCCATCAGAAAGGTTCAGTTTCAAGTCTCTCACACTTTTTCAGTCATTGTAGGGAGTTCAGTCACTCTCATTTTATCCCTGCAACAATTTCAAAATGTGTATTTTTCTGTACCTAATCTGCATATATTTCTTTTTGTGTGTAGAAGTCAGTAAGAGATTTGAGAGATGTTAATATATTTATGTACAATAGGATTCTGTATTTGAAGCAGCAAAGGTCACCATTCTCAGAATGCAGACTTTGACTTGGAATAAATATCAGTAGATAAGATGCAAAATATTTCTCATTCTAGTTTTGCTTTAACAAGCTAAGTTTAAAAGGTTTCTCAGGTTTGCCATGCATCTGAAACAAGGAGGTGTTGGAGAATACAAAATTTTTTAAAAACTTGGAAAGGCACTCAACTTGCAGGTTTTATTTCTAGAGGACAATCAGAATATGGCCTTGTCAAATCATGGATCTAAGCCATATTTAGAATGAGAATCTTACACATTTAGGTGAATCTACAATGAACACGTATAATACCACTGGTGACTGAAGCCTATTAATGAAATGCTCCACAAATGCTCAGTTCACTAGATAGCAGTATTTCTTTTGGGAGGGGATAATTTTCTTAACCACTGAGAAATGAGTTCACAAACGCAGATGCAAAGCTGTCACTTTATCATGTATACCAGAAACAGAATAAAAAAAGTAAAACACTCAGGTTTGCTATTTGTATTAATATTCTCAACACTTAATATACGAATGTCATAATGGTTCAGTAGATTTCAATAAATCTACTGAAAACACACAACAGTGAGGGTAGAAACAGCTTGTGGTTTATGGTTTTAGGAGGAGGAAACACACCGGTGAGTAGCCTCTAGGCAGTGAAAGATGACTCTCTCAGAACTCCTGGATTCAGTCCATCAAAATGCCTCAAATATCCTGGAGCAGAATTCTGCTTTGGCTGTGGCCTGCCCTTTCACTGTCTCACTATCTCAAGCTTCTGAACCCTTTCAGAAATGGCAGGCCGCACTACAAGATGCTCTTCAACTGTCTTGTTGGGGTCACCAGAGGGAGAAGTATATTCTGACATTCCCCCCCTGCACTTAATCTCTCCTGCAGAAAGGATTCTCTGCCTGAGTGTCTAGACTGGACAGCTCTTCTCTATTCTGCTTGGGCCAGGGCCCCCAAGCACCTGGGTTTGTATTGGTCTACCCAAATGCTTCCTCTAGAAACTCATCCTTCACTTAGGCAGACTGCATACTTTCCAGAAGTTATCCTACTGATTTAAGTATATCAGCTCCAGGTTTCATCAAAGTCTCATTGAAAATCTTTTGTTTGTAACGAGAGATGGTATTTTTTAAGTAAGATATGAACGTGTCTTTTTAGCTGATAAAGTTTACTACCAGTTTGAAAATGTAACATCTCAGGATGGGAGTTTAAGGGATTGGGTTTGTGGTGGTGGTTGGCAAACAAAGATTACAAATTCCATGACAAACTACTGAGCTTCCACTGGACCCGTAAAACAGAAACAATGGCCCAACAGATTATGTGAAACCTCTTAAATAAAAAGTCTAATATTAGTTATTAATTTAAAAGGCCACCTAGGCACAAATGTAAACAGGGCAAGCTGAACAGAACAGCTTTGTTAGACAACTCAGATAAAGACTGAAATGACAGAAAAAACCCATACTTGCCAACACCGTTAATTGTGTCTCTGTTAATACGTAGTTGTTTAACTCCCTGCCTGGCCACAACTGTTTTATTTTATAAGGAGGGTTAAAAATAGCTCTCAGGGCAAAACTAGAGAAGAAAATAAGGCTATTCTGCAAACAAATTCAGGAAAGTGATCTCTGTTCCTCAGTGAGGAAAAAAGCAGGTTCAGCCATGCGATACCTAACGGTATGTCCAAATGCCATTTCCTGAAGTGTTGCAATTTCTTTATGCAGCTAGTACATCCAAACGGACAGTAACCTATTAAGGGGGCAACACATGAACTCTATAGCTTTTACTCTGTATATCTGAGAGATTATCTGCTGAGATTATCCCGTTTGTTATCTGCTGTCTTCTGACAACATGTGTGAGGAAATGAAGAAAACACAGCCCCGGTGAGCATCTTCTACAACTTCATACTAAACAACCTAGCTGATGGCATGACTTCTTAGCTTCGACTCTTGATCAGGTGGGAAAAATACCCTATGCACACAGAAGTAATGACCTGTAAATTTTTGCTCATATCTAGTTTTCTCAACAGACAAATAAGCTACACCAATTTGCACATGAAATTGATTGGAATGCTGCATGCACGTGCATTTCAACTTCTCAGGAACAGAGCAGACGGTAACAGTTCAGAGGACAGTACTGTGCTAGAATAGGAAGAACCAAGGATTGAGAAAAAAACCTCGTTACTGTGCCTAGCTGGGGGGCGACTGTTACAAATTTTACAGGCTGGGAAATGGCACATCAATGCCAGACTGACTTCACTAGGTATGATCTCCCCATCAAAGTCACCTTGACCTTTCAGTTCCAGAAAACCTACTACATTGTGCTGTTTGCTTTCCACAGCTTTGGCAGAGTTCCTTTGTGACATGTATTTATATTTCCCATTTTCCGAGGTTTTCAGGAAGAAAAGTGCAAGCAACTTTTCTAAAACGGTAAGCATTCCAGTATTTTAGGAAGGCTTTTGGCACAGCCTCCGGTACTTTAAACGTAATAATGCCTCAACTTTTACTACTAGATACTAGAGAATGTAGTGGAGAATCAAATTGAGAATTTGACTTCTGAGGAATTTTTTCATACAACAAAGATATATTTCTTAGCGAAACACATCCATAAAAAACCCACAGGGGGAGTAAAAAGCTAGAGGAAATCAGCTTCAGTATTTACAGGCAACAGTGAGGTAGCCCTCTCAAGAGTGCTGTCTTCACTGAAATGATTTTATAAGTTACAGTCTTCGTTTTCTTTTATTTCTCTTGTAAGTAGCTCCCATGTGAGCAATCCATTCATGTTCTTCCTCATATTATCTCCTACATGATTTCTTTCATACTTTTAAGGCTGTATTATTATCCTATATATTTCTTTCTTGTTCAGGCAATGTTTGTTTTAATGAGGCTTAAAATATGCACTGTTCTAAAACATATTTTATTGTCACATATTCAGGTCAAGCTTTAACAGCAGCTTCTGGTAAGTAATTTCTCTAATAATTAACCTTACCTACTATTTGATACATAAATCAAGAGTTCCCACTGAGTAGGAGAAATGGATATTTAAAAACTTTGTTTATAGTTCCCTAAAACAGATGTGTAGTATTGTTTGTGGAGACATCCTGAAATATTCTGACCCTCTACTTTCGAATAATTTTTTGTCAGCCCTTCACTTTACATCAGCATGAAAGAGCTTAAGACTTCTGTTTTAAGACAAGTAAAAAACCTGCTATTTTGCATTATACATACCATTTCCATTTGCATGCACTGCATAATCATTATTCATTAGGAGTGTTGTAGAGTTAGTGGAGTTGCTGTTTGATTGTAAGGAATTGGAAGAACTGGATACTCCTTGATTTACAGTCTGCTTCTTTAAACCATTAGTAGCAGTTCTACTCCAGTCTACAACAGATACATGTTACAGAAAATAGCACAACTCATACAAGCAATATATAAAAAGATTGTTAATAATGTAACTGAATTAAAATAAAAATAAGGCTTTTCCCACTCTCCTCACAGTATTCTAGACAGAATAATATTGTAAGAATTTTATTATTCTTGATGTTTAGAATTATTTAAATCTAGTTGCCTTTTCTCTTGTCCCTTTTTTAATACAAGCAGCCAACTGTAACAGTTTTATGACTGCAGACCAGATCAGAAGAATTACTAAAGTACAGTTGTCCCTCTAAGTTAAAGTGTATAAAACATATACAGCTTTATGGAGAAGTCAACTACTAATTAACAAAATAGCATAAAATCATTTACAGGTTTTTTGGTTTAAACTATGTGGAAATCACCAGTAGCACTACAGTTGACTCAGAAGCTGTAACAAATCTCATTGGTTCTGTAAAGCCATGCCTTTATAGTACAAGGGAAGAGATCATCTCCAGTTAACATGTTAATGCAACAGCATGTACGCATGTAAGAACTGCATCAGCCACCACTTTTAAAGAGAATAGTTTTGGAGGTTTAGTATACCTTGGATAATAAATTAGAACTGCAACTGCAGTAACATGATTTATTTTTTTTCTTTAAGAAAAGTATTACAAAATATTAGGAACTTAACAGAGCATAAGCATTCAGAAGTATTCATATTTACCAGAGTTTTCAGCCAGCCTGAATTTCCCACAACAGAGGTATCTTCTCCATTGTTTACGGACATTCTCCTTTGTTACACAATAGAAGATAAAAATGAAGAACCCTGCAAAACAATAACATTAGAGAATGTTGCAAAATTTACTTTTACTACTTTTTAGTGAACAGTGTTTTGGTTTTCTTTCACTGCTTTTAAATTTGTAATAAAAAGTAATGACACCTTTCTTTGGTGAGAAAGTTTACAGCTCTCTAAACTGAAGAGTATTTTTTCATTAAATAGATGAATCATACACACAAATGCAGGAGCAACAAATGTAACCAAATCCACAAAGTGCATAAAGTTTCCTTCTATCAAATAAGAAGGAAAAAGTTCTGTGGATCCTGAAATTTAGTTAACTGTTTTGGAAAAAAATTCTAAGCAATGTCAGTAAGAGGATATGCTATGACACTGTCAGGCTATGCAGCTGTTAGCACATGGTGTGACGCTGTCCCATCTTCTATTAGCAGTTAACCTCTTATCACCAAGTGTAGCAGAACCAGTAACTACAAAGAAAACAACTCATATCTAAAATAATTAGTACACTCATTGCCGGAAATTCAAAGCCAAATATTTTCTAGAAGGGATGGGGCTCATCCCCGTCTCTCGCCATCCCTGTCTCGTGCCAGTGCCACATTACAGACTCATCTGCTTCTCATTCACTTCTACCTGACACAAGGTGGGTCTTAACCTTCTCTGATAAAAAGTTCATTGTCATCTTTGCCCTGTAAGGAAAAGTGGCACTTGGTCTTTGCACAATTTTTCAGCTTCAGTGTGTCCCTGAGAACAGATGTGTTGAGTTTACAGTTAATAGAAGATAACACGAAGGAAAGCTGAATGATCAGATTGCTGCTACATACATGTATGTTATATTTACTGGCTTTTAAGGCCAGTTAAGTGTGTAAAATTCCACTAGAAGAGATTATTTACATCATCTTTTGCTTCACTATCTTTCCCAACTTTGGCTTTTGGGATGAATTTTTGACTGTAACTAAGTGTTGCTCTGTAAAGATGGTTCTACACTGTTTTCAAATATAGTTTTGAAACACTGTCATTAGCTCAATTAAAGTCAATACAATTTAGTACCCTTATTACTTCTAATACAAAAATTTGCCCAGCACCTAACTTAAAACTGGGTAGAAGGGCAACTAGGTAGAAGGGCAACTTCACAAAGTGAATTACTCTGACCACAGAGTGTTAGTTCAACACAATCCCATGAGAGACCTGGGAAGATGTGGGTTCAACCCCTCAAGTTACCAAAGATCAAGTTATTCAAAAGATCAACATAGTAACAGGGGAGAGGTATATACACTGAACTGCAATGTTCTTTGTCTCTCTGGGAAATCAGCCAGCCAGTCATCTAAAGTACCATTTAAGCAGAAATTTGAATCCAAACTTCAGTAGGGCAATTCAGGTATACTTTGGTAACTGCAGGCACCTATGGTACCTTCTGTTTTATGTGAAAGCTTTTGCGGCCTTTGAAACTCTATGTCCCGTATCACCCTGGCCTTTGCAAAGCTGTGTGCCTTCATACCTACTTCCTCTATGTTCTTACGTACTAAAAGGCCATGCTGAACAGTTAGACCACTAACTTTAAGATGTTGAAGGGCTTGCCTGTCTCAGTGGTCCTTTGTTGAATGTTATACCTCAATCCTATGCCTTAGGGTAAGTGGAGAAATGACACAGTTTTCACTACATTAATTGCATTATTATGTGAACACTTACAGCAACTATTTGCAATTGATCTGTTGACCAGAGAAATACAGTCACTTCCACTGGATTCTGGTTTGCATACATTTTTTAAATGATAATATTTATAAATACATTATACCTATAAATAGTAGCTAGCTTTCCTGTACCTTTCTGAAACATAACTGTAATTTAAATTACAGTAAAGCAGTATCATCTCTAATATAATTAACATGTTAAAGGATGTATCAAAATTACTTTATTGCTAAATCAAGAAAATGCCATTTCCAAATGCTTTATTCATTACATTCTATGCAATGAGCTGTCACATGAAGGATAAACTTACCTTGCAAAGTGTTGAAAATGGTAAAGAGGTAAGTAAACACATCATTCACTGTGAAGAAAGCAAATCCCCAAGTAATTCCCAACAGGAATGTGAGGCCGGCAACACTCCTAAGGTCTTGAATACTGGTTTTTCTTTGAGCTCCAAGCTGTTTTTTCTTTTTGATACGACACAGCTGTATCAGCACAACAATGAACATGCTGATATTGATCAGGAATATCACACAAAAGTATCCCACAGCAGTAATATAGAAGACAATTCTGTTTTTAATCCAGCAGCTAGAACACAAGAGCAGTCTGTCAATCATTATCAGATACCGAAATAGAGTAAAATGAACATGAGATAAAGGTGTAGTTTGTTGCAATGCAAACTATTATGCCTCCTTAGTAGAAAGTACTTTTTTGGCCAAAAGGTAAGAACTTTCATATAAGCCATCATTACAAAACAGATGATATACTGTAAAGCTATATAATTTCAAAATTCTCCCATTGTTTCCTTCCCAATCTTTAAATAAAAGCCATTTTGTAGGACGTCTCTCCCACCCATCCCCTCCCAAAGCACCCCCTTTAACTCACAATTCATCAGGTCTGTTTATTGAAACTTTTCCAGTGGTTATAAGTCCATAATTATCTGGTGACACTGCCAACACGATGGACACAACTACTGCTGGTAACCCTTAAAGATTATGAGATTATAAAAATAAAAATCATGAGAAAGACAGTAGTATGAGCACATGAAATGATTATATTTTTCTGTGAAATGTATAATATGTTTCTGAAATTTGTCTGTTGAATTCTGTTGACTGCTAGCTGTCTAAAGTATCTAAAACCTGAACATTCAAACTGTTCAGGAGCATAACTTGCAAAGAAACAAGAGTTATTCTCCACAGTTAGCTCCAAACCTTTCTGAATAAGGCATCAAATACCATCATTCAATAAACTGATTTGATACCTGATTTTCTTTCTTACATCTGCTTTAATAAAACAATTCTATTGATTTTAGTGCCTTCACTCATGTTTACTCAAGTGGCCAAAGAGGATAATCAGGCCTAGAATCTTTCTACCCAGTTAGATCTTCTCTGCTGGCTTTTTGTTAGCAACAGTGCTATCCCAGAAATAGAATATACGTATACACTTATTATTTTCAAGACACAACTGATTCCATTTGTCTGGTAAATGGAAATGGAAACATGCACGTTCAAAATTGGTTCTGTCATACTTGCACAAGGAAAATTCATTATCAATTTGCATCGCAGCAGCCTCAATTCTGCAGTTAGGAAGGAGTTTCCTAGCTCAGAAAGGTGGAATGTGTAGGATCAGATTTACTGATAATAAATACCTGGTCACTGCAAGATTGTAACACTTACTGACTACTTCATTTTCATTTCTAGCCTGTGTCACGTTCACTGAAATACTTGCTAACAGAAAAGGAAAAATAAAATCTACATACCCCAACCAACGACGCAAAATTTAAGAATGTATTTCTGCACGTAGGTATTAAAGACTTTCACAAGGGCCAGATACATGTGGAAAGCTTCTAGGCCCATCCAGGTGAAGGAAACCAAGAGGAAATAGTGAAGAAATACTGCGACTGCAATGCACAGGCCTCGTGTATCATACAGTGCAATCCATGAGTCAAGGAGGAAAACTAAGTTCAGTAGAAGTAGTGCAGCACAGAGCTGAATAAGGATTTTGGAAGGGTAGTCTCTCCGGATTTTCCTAAAAAAGGCAAATTAGTGAGATTATATCAATTGTCCATGGATTTATGGTTTACTTCCTCTCTTGTAGTCCTTAGTGCACAAATACCAAGGAAAAAAAATACACATTTTCATTCATATATAATGCTTCATATATGAATAAAGTTTGTTATAACAAGGCTATGTAAATACAGCTATTAACCTGAATTCTTGGAATTTAGTACCATGGGGTTTTTTTTGTTTTACACTGTATATTGGACTTCTTGTTACAGTTCTTCCAAAAACTTAAATGTGATTATTCTTTATTGCTGAACTGGATTAGGCTTTTGACTGGGCTTCTGAAGCCTTGACATAGACAAGCAGGTCCTTGATGAGAGGATCATGAGAGACTAAACATGTGCTGAGTAACTCTGAGGACAGTTTCTAAAACACAGGATGGGGGATTCAATAGTTAAGGCTCAAATTTAAGAGAAAAGCTCTAAAAACAACAAAGAATACAAATGCATTTAAAAATTCTATCACTCTGCTCTGTTCTATGTATGTTCTGTTTTGAACACATTCCTTCATCCTTTTATGATAATCCATTACAAAGTATTTAAGAGTGCTGCTTCTTCACTTCTGGCTGTATAAAGCCTCATGATTAATTCACTTGTGCACATTAGCATTCCTGAAAACTGAATCAACACCTTCCTGGTAAAATGGACAAATCCATGCGTGTATTATTAGCTGAGATAAGAATCCATATTATTGGAAAGGACTTTGGAGTGAAGACTACAAGCAATCATAATTGAAGAATAATGGGAGCTCAGTTGAACAGGTACTTACTCAAAGGCTATGTAGGTCACAAGAGTAATAGAAAGAAAAATTGCAGAAAGGCCACAGCCTATATAGGATATAAAAGTCAGTACTAATTCTTGTGTGGGATTCAAAGGAGTATTTCCATACAAGTTCTAAAACGGAAACAGAAGTTACTTTCAGATAAAATGTTTATTAAATGGAAAAAGATAAAAAACCACAAAATACACCTTTAACACCTTTAACAACTCTTCTGTTGTTAAATACCAAAGGAAACAGTTCCATGAATCATTCTTAAAACCCAGAAAAGCCAATCTAGTCCTGAAAGGAGTGGACAGTTGGACTCAATGATCCTTATGGGTGCCTTACAACATGAAAATATTGTATAATTTTAACTGTGAAATCCCATTTGATTAAAAACCTGTTTTAAATTTGATTTATCCTAATTTTCTATTTTCCACAGTATAAACAACTGCCTAAATGTAAAAGCTGCAGTTTAATAAGCACTTAAGGAATTTTGTACTACAGCGGAACTCATGGGCAGCCATTCAACAGGCAGCTTAAGCACGTGACTAAATGAATGGCCATATGTACTAACACTGAAGTAAATAAATCTGAATAGTATTTCATAGGTGGTACGTGCTTACTGAAAACTCATTTGCTTAACACATGCTTAAGTATGTTCTTGGATCAGGGTAATTTTTAATATAATTTATTAAAATAACTTTAAAAATAATTACCATCAAAACTGCAAAGCTTGTGAGGTGGTTGCATGAACAGACTGTTTCATTTACTCTACTTTCTTTAACTATGCAACCTTCATATGACCAGCCTCCATGTCCACCTGTGAAAGAAAGCAGCTTTGTCATTCATAAAAACTTATATTAACATGAGTGACATGCTGAGAAAGTTGGGGCTGTTCAGCCTGGAGAAGAGAAGGTTGCGTGGAGACCTCATAGCAGCCTTCCAGTATCTGAAGGGGGCCTAAAGGGATGCTGGAGAGGGACTCTTCATTAGGGACTGTAGTGACAGGACAAGGGGTAACGGGTCCAAACTTATAGGGGAAGTTTAGGTTAGATATAAGGAAGAAGTTCTTTACTGTGAGGGTGGTGAGGCACTGGAATGGTTTGCCCAAGGAAGTTGTGAATGCTCCATCCCTGGTGGTGTTCAAGGAAAGAGCCTTGGGCGACATGGTTTAGTGTGAGGTATCCCTGCCTATGGCAGTGTGGTTGGAACTTGATGATGATCTTAAGGTCCTTTCCAACCCTGACTATTCTATGATTCTATAGCATAGCTAAGCCTGCATGATATCTTAGGTTATATCAGGTACTTACCATTTTTATTAAAGTCCCAAAAAACACATCTAACTGTTGAATTACCCTGTTCAGGAGGTAAAAAAGAAAAAAAAAAGAAAATTTTACTAAACTATGAGTTTACGATCAAGTAACTTATTAATTATCTACAAAATGCAGGCAAGAATAAATACAGTATACAGCACAAAGAATGGATTAATGCCACAATATGCTTGTGAAAATACGCTTAAGAAATCTGAAGTCAGCGTATAGGAGCTAGCTATCACGTTTATGCTAAGTTTCTGTTCCTGGTAGAACATTATGAATGAATGCTCTTTCATTGCCTTCCCACACTATACAAATTCTTGGGATTTCTCATCCTTGGTGATTTGGAGAGTATTGAGAACATGACCACAAAGACAAGGAAAAACTTTTCCATTTGCAAACATTAGATCCCTTTATACTACCATGATGTTAAAGGTTTACAAGTGGATTTCCCCTACACACATGAAAATCCTAAAAATAGTAGCAATAATGCACTATACTGCTATGAATACTAATACTTCTACAGGTATATCTCAGAATAATGTATCAAGACTACACTACATTTTAAGATATAGGATAGATTTTAATCTTTGTTGCTTATTTAGGAAAGAGATGCTGTAGATGAGCCCTAATACTTGCAGATGACACAGTCGTGTGCTCTAGTTTAAGGAACAACATTCCCCCTCAGAAAAAATACTTGTGTCGCTGTCTGGCTGTGACGCACCTACAAATGTCAAGATTGCAGCATCTGCATAGTAATACCCACTCTCAGGTTTTCATCTAAAAGGTTTTATTCTTTGAAGAATACAATAGAAGAGCAAGTAGAAAAGATAAAAACATAAAAAACTGAATGGATAAGTTATAGAGTGACATTATCTGAAACCACAGCAGAAAAAAAAAAATTATACCAGTGATAAATAAACAAAGATGAGTGATTTGGAAAGTGCAAATGGAGATGAAAAGCCCACACTAGTAAAGCAGAACCAACAGATCTGTATTCTTAATACAGTGTTTTGTCTACAACAATTCTATTGGAGGCAACAAAGTTGTATGTCAAAATGTAGATCATACCTGATTAGGTTTGATATTCTGTAATACAACAGTAACATTTGCCTTTAAGTTGCTAATTGTGAGGTTAGAAACACTCGATGATATAACACTGCTGATTAAAGATGCATTCTTCAAGGCCAGATCCTGGAACAACAAAAAAGAGTAATATTTAAAAATTGTAAATGAAACAATACTACAGTATAGCACCTACAAGCTCAGGGATTATCCGGAGTGAGCACTGGACAAAAGCAATTACATTTTAAATCGGAAAGCTTGGTAATGTGCTTTGTGGTAGTAAAGTCCATTTACATTTTATTTTGCTCTAGGCTTGAGTTTAAAACCCTTATGAATAGAGGATCAAAAAGATACCTGGAACACAGTGGTCTTTTTAAAGAGGTTGAATATAATTCTAGAAGCCAAGTTCAACTCATCATGGGGTAAACTGGTCAGCAATGATGAAGGAAGTGTAATTGATCCAAGATTATTTACATCATTAATTGCATTACTGCCTAGAGAAATCTGAAAAATAAATGCAAGGATTATGCTTAATTTCCATCACTAAATTAAATTATGCCTTATTTTCAATTTAGAACTTTGAAATGTGTATCTCTTTTATCATTGTCAGGAACTCACTACTGCTGTCTCATTGCTCTCCTGTTCCAATGAATAAATAGCACCCGCAGGCTTGAAAAGGATGAAACTCATTTCAGGTCTGCCTACCACTGAAAATACTCTGCCTTTACCCCATTTGCTTACAGGAAGAGAACACACTGCTGTGATGGATAATACTGATTTGAAAAAGGTGAAGAGCAACAACCTAGGTAAGTCTATGTAACTGTGTAAGGAGATTTATATTTAAGCCTGAAAGGCAAAGAATTTTACATATACCCCATATAAAGTATGTCAGAATCCAGAAAAACTTTAAATAGCTATTATTTGTCAATAGGTTTTTAAATATAGCAGGTTAAACAGAATCTAAGAACATAAATCCTACCTTTATGATCACCTGGCAGAAATAACAAAAATAAACTGGATAATCTACAATTCGTACATATCAAGAGCTCACTGGCAGAGTATTACTAGAAAAAAATCTGAACTTTCACCCAGTTTTCTGTGCTGTACTTACAGAACAGAGAGCTTTGTTTAGTACAAAGTCTCTAACATTTTCTTGTTGTACATTAGTCACTTTACCTACAAATATCATCAGAGTTCCTGAGAGATGTGTAACATCAGCAAAACTGAAGAAGGAAGTTATTTGTGTATTCAAACAATGGCTGTAATAGAAATATCAGTGCCTGCTCCTCACAGTGCCTTAACAATGTGGTTTAACTCTTCTGTTCTTAATTCTTCTGTTCTTCTGTTCAATAAACATTTTTGAACATGCACCCCTTAAAAATTTTTTAGCCATGCACCCCAAAATGTATCTATCAATTTATATGCATACACTACTGTACTAATTATGCATATTATAAAATATACACAAAAATAGAAATTGAAAAATGATATGAAGATTAAACATTCTTTAAAAAATATATTTTTTTAATTTATTAACCATATAAAAATATTTACTTCTTGCACCCCAATGGACTGTCATGTGCACAACCAGGGGTACTCACACCCCATTTTGGAGATCACTGGTTTAGACAGCCACCAAAGAAATCCTGAATCAACTCCACAAAAGCATTCCTGTTGCTGTGGTTTGAACTAAATAATACTTGTTGAAAAGTCTCTGTATTTCATTGCCAGTGCCAGAATTTTTCCATAAAATCATTAGCAAATTATCTGTTTTTCAGTAGTATCACCTCCCAGTCATCTCAGATTCATGCAGCACACACTGCAAAGAATGTATCAAAGAACTCAAATGTTACCATATCATTTTCAGTGTCACAGAACAGTTCCAGCACTATTTATGGCTCATGCTACATTAAGCTACTTCCTTCTCTTAGGGACAGAATGTGCCAAAATCTATTCAGAACTTTCCATATCTCCTTGCTTAAGACTCCAAGACTTGGTATTGTCCAAATTATTATTTCCTCAAGCAGGAGGGAGATTTTGAGACAAAGTGGATCCAAACTTTATAAGCACTTCTTTGCAAGACCAACTAGCCATGAGTGACAAATGTACGAATGCCATTATGCGAGCAACGTAATAGTTCTTTCCTGGAACACTCTGCAATTAATCTCCTTCTAACAGATGAAGCCATCTGGTAACACTCTGACAAATTTCATCACTGTCAGGTGGGTGATGAAGTGACTCCTGATTCAGGGTTTCTGAGGCAAAATTATGCTGTCCATTCCAGTGTTCTGGTTGTACCTCTCTAACAGCTTATTAGTCAAATGCCAGTCTGTTACTTATTTATACAATTGAACATGAAAGGAAAACTATGGAGGCCTTCAAAACCAAAGTATTTTTTCTCTGGAACTAACATGAATTAAAGATCCTGAAATTATGATGTAAACACAGAACAAACTCACAGTACATATAAATATAAAACCATAAATACTTTAAAATAAATGAGAATCTGTAACCATTTAAAATTATCAGTGTTTAACCTGGAGATCAGCTGAGTCCTGGACAGCAAAAGACATTTGGTTGGAGCGGATGCTGGTGGTTTTGACAACTGCCAGAGCCAAGGAAGGGGAGGCAAAATCAGCAGATGTTCCTGAGAAGTTCAGCTTTAAACCAATATAGTCCACCAGTTTTATAATCCTGTTAAGAAAAGAGATAATTAGTATCACCAAGTACATACACCCAAAATTCTGAGGCAAGATGTAGCTTTGGAGCAGCAATTGAAGCATAGTGTAAAATACAACTGACTCTGCTCACTTGTATAGTATTAACACAAAAATTATACTGTTTTCCATGTTATTATATTAGATGATATTATACTATAATCCTATTATATTCTATCTGGTAACACTAGAATGATACTCCTTCCATTTTGAACAAGAAACATTGTTTTGCATTATGATTATTAAAAAATTAATATCACTAACACCCATTTATCAAGACAGTCAATATAACACACATTTATCTATTGCCACAATGACCTACCTGTTAGATATTCTGGGTGGTAATGGTTCAGAAGCAGTCAGGACTTCGCTAACCTCACTAACCATCCTTTCTACATCTTTTGGCTCTACTTTTCCAGCTGCTAAATCATTTTCTATTTTGGACACAATTTGCTCAGCTGTGGTAATATTAATGGGGGTATATACAGAAGTTGTGTATGTGGTAGCTGATAGTGTCTTTCCTGTGACAAAAGAAAAGTTGTGCATTTATTTAAACATTATATTCAACAAATTATGTAACGTTTGAGAAGCAGAAAAAATACGCAGTTCTCTTGACCAACAAATCTTATCACAACTTGAAAGGTCTCTCAACACGTTATGTGAAACAGAATCCCCTTTTCTCACTATGAGCTACTCTGCAGATAGCAATACCTCAAGTCTTATGAAAACATAAAGCAAGGTTTCAAATGGCCAGCATTAATTCAACTTTTTATTGATTACAACGTTCCTCACATCAAGCCATTAGTGATGTTAAATAGTCTATTATTCTGGATTTTTAGCTACCGGATGCCTGAAAGTAAAATAAAATCAAGGCAAGATCAGCAATTTAAAAAGAAACTTGTAAAGATGTGTACAATGTTCACAGGAAAATACATAGCCGCTAAGAATATTCCTAATCAATAATAACATTTTAAGAATGATCCAACATTGATTTGTACTATTTTAAATACTAACTTAGTAAAAAAATTAGCTATCTGGCTCAGTGACTTAATATTTTCTACAAAAAGTACCTGTTGGGAACTTAGCACAGTACCTGTTTATCACAGTTACAAACCAATTTGTGGAGTGAGGTATCACTCATCATGGCCAAAGACTTCTGAATGTATTTTAAAGTACACACCTCACAAGAGTTGTCTCAGGTTTTTCACAGTAACTGGAAATTCACAGATTGGGTATATAATCTTGTTTAATAAAATTTAAAAGTGAATTTGATATATAACATTCAAATTAAATAAAAAAAAATCATTTTACTTGTCATATTTACCTGTGCTCCCTTTAGGCAGGATGCCATGGCTATCGGCAGTAGAATGATGATGAGAAGCTGAGACAGCATGGTTCACAGGACTAACCGTAGGGGTCAAAGTTATTGTGAAAGGAGTAAGGGAAAGAATAGGTGCTGTAGTAATGTTTTTATAACTAGGAATAGGTTGGGTTGAATCTGTAGCAGGAGGCTGAATTTTTGCAACAGGTTTGGTGGTAGCCTCAACAGGGGAAACTGTTACTGAAGGTCTGGGGGGAAGCTCAGAAGAGGATACTGCAGAATGTTTAGTGAAACCTACAGAAGGAGAAATGATTGTAATAGGCTTGCTAAGATACACACCATCAGATTTAACTGAGAAAGCAGCATCAGTGACAGATTTTTCTGCAGGTGTGAAGATAGTGACAGATTTATTAGAAGATACGGAAGTAACAGTTTGCACAGTAGGCTGGGCAGGAGACTCAGAAAGTGTAGTAGTAACACTGGTGGAAGACACAGAAGTTTCAGTAGTGGATGTGGTAGAAGCTTCAGAGAGAGTATTTGTAGTGGGAGATGTGGAAAGAGTTCCAGAAGACATTTCTGTGAACGGTGGGATCAGTGGTCTAATTGTAGGGCTTTGTTTGGTGGAAAGCATAGTGGGGGAAATAAGAGTACTGGACTTGGGGGAAGTCTTTTTAGGGAGAGAAGGGAAATGGGGGAAAGGAACCCATATGGAATGAGATGGCACTTTTATAGTACTGCAAAAAAAGAAAAAAAAAAAGAAGGCATAGAAATGCATGTTAAATTTAACACTTTATATTTTAAAGAAAATAAGTTATCATACAGGCATATAAAGATACAGACATAATAGCAATAATGCATATTTTAAAAAGCAATTAGATTGGGTGTTTCATGATCTAGTAACAAATACAAATTCTGTGATGCTTTGAGAGTTCTTGCATTCTAGTTTGCTCTATTTGTTAACTAGCAAGCCCATAGATACTACTGCTGCCTTTGCTGCTTGTTCTGGAGGTGACCTGATGCTGAACACAAAAGCTATCGGCATCAAAAACAAACAAACAAACAAACAAACAAAAGAGAAGGGAAGGGAAGAGGGAAGAATGAGAAGGGAGCTATCTAGGAAGAAGCATGTCAATTTGTTCTTGTGGAGTCCTTCCTCGCTATTACACTGCATCATGGAAGTTGACTCTATTAATGCATGGGAAAATCTAGGAAATAAGCAAGTCAGATTTTGTATTTATACTTACTACATCTGTAATTCTTCAGCAGTCAAGGAACAATACTTCAGGGATGAACAGCAGCACTGGTCTGAGATGACAAAGAAGCATTAACCAAGTTTATCCTGAAGCATAAAAATTGCTAATTGCTAAATAATAAGCAGGATGTTCAAATAAGCATGTAATTTATTATGCAATTATGCAATTTACACAATAGTGTAAATTGCATAATTGCATTTGATTATTTTTTTTTCTGAAATGGCATTTACAAACCAGATCTCGACCAGTCAGAATACTGAAATACCCCCCAAGTTTTTCTCAATTCCTCACAAGTACAGATTTCTTTTTTTGTTAATGTAAACAAAAATGAAATGCTACATCTTTTGAAACAAACGGTATAGGTCACCAATTCATACTACCACAATATTACTAAGAAATCTTGGCTACTTTATAAACTTTTCAATATAGATCATCATTTCAGTAACACATTTATGTCCTCGAGTAATTTTACACATAATTCTGTCAAATTTTGCTATATTGACGGGGTCAGAAATTTTATACTGAAGGTTTTTTTAACATATTTCTATCTTCCCCCTCCCAACCCCAAAATCAGACGGCTGCATTTTTTGATGTACTTCTATTGTTCAGCAAAAAATACTTTTATCTAAAAATATATAACAATGTTTTCCTTCAGCTTCTTGAAGGTCACATGTAAAGATAGAAAATTTAATCTGAAAGGCTCACTGTGATACGACTGTGTTTAAAGCATAACTTACCAAGTCGGCTTATTTCTGCTTTGTCTGTTAAACTGCTTGTATTCTCTCTCTCAGCCAGCTTCATTATGAAACTGCAGTATATACTATGATGAGAAGAAAACCCTTTAGACTCAAGAAACAGATCTGTCTCATCTTTATGATGCATAAAACTAACATAAAATACTAACTGAAAGCACATTAGCACAAATGCTAAGTCTGAAAGCACATTTTTCCTAGGCTTTTTCAGATTTGGGGATATTTTTAATGCACATAAAACACTATGCCAGGCTACAAATAAGTGTAATAATACATCAGTTTGAGGCAGCTTCTTTTCTGTTTTCTCTACAGACAGTTTATTCTTAAATGAGGTCCTCCCTAATTAATATTAGCCATTAAAGAGTTGATTTGTAAAGATAATAACATAATCTCCACTGTTACTGTAAAAAACCTCCCGCGAGTTTCTAGGTATCATAGGTTGCTATTGTCAGTGTATATTAAATCTCCATCGCCTAGGGAAAGCCAGTATTTTCTCATTTGACTTTAGAGAGAACCTAAAGACCTATTTAGCATGTAACTACATATTTACAATTATGGTTCAATGACTTGAAATCCTGACTAAACTTCCATCTTTTTTTCAGCTAACAAGAATGAAAATAGTACCCTATACTGCCAGTTTATGATATGAAAGTGTGATCTGACTTACTGCCTATAATAGTCTCAGTGGTTTGGACTTTTCTTTCATCCTAACACAGGAAGATAAACCCCAAATTCAAGTGTTTGGGGAAATGAAGTTCCACATTTTGTTTTTACAGTGTTTGCAAGCTGATCAGTTTAAAGGCCCAGCAATTTAGTGGTGAGTAGCAATTAAACTGACAGATATTATCTACATTTCATGCTTTTCAGGATCACCTCTGTGGAGCAGCCTTGCCATTCTGGTACCACATGGCTTCCAAACTCTGAAATGGTTACTGTCTCAGGCTCCTACTCTGAGGACAGCTGGTTTCCCAAGCCAAAGAACAGCAACTTGGGATGCCTGAAGCAATTCCATCATAAACAAGCTCTGGAAGTTTGGTGGTCCCAAATCCCATAACTTTAGTGATTAAGTTGCTATATAATATAGAGATGCAGAAGAAATATGGCAGGCAAGCTGGTATTTCACCAGAAGACTAAAGAAAAGCAATATTGTTTGGGAAAAAAAATAAAAAAATCACTAATGCTAGAAAAATGGGATGAGATTTTGTCTGCCTACATATATTTCTCCAGTCTATTTATCAAATATAACTTTGCTAGAAAGTTTGGCTTTAATTCTGTTACACAGCCATTCATACTTGATATATTAATGTATAAGCTTGTAAATTTATGAGCATTTAAAAGATTGACAACAAACCTCTGATTTTCTGCACTGCATTCCATAATGGAAGACTGTAATGACAAGTGAAAATAGATTGTTTTGTCAGGGCAAAATAGGACTGATACTTAGATAATAAAGTTTTCCAAACTATAACAAGTTAGTAATCTTACCTTACTTATTGCTTGCAAGGTTTTGTTGAACTCTGAAATTCTTTAAAATAAAAAAATTACCATTATGGAGAATTTCTACTTACGTTTCTAAAAACAATTATAACAATATAATGAATAAAAGAAGCAATTACTGAGAAAAACACCCACCAAAAGAAAGTAACAGTTGATCAGTGTTAGTTTGTTTTTTAAATCATGCCAGTTCCAATATTGTAAGGACCCTTTTCAAAGGATTAAGCCTGTAGTAAGCTGCCTTTTAGTAGTCACTACACAAAGTTTAAACCTGTATCATCACATATGTTAATACCACTCCACTTCTTTAAAAGTTATTTGAAAGAACAAAGTCTTAATGTTGCCTTTTTGCAAGCATTTTGAACAGAATTCTAAATTTATACTCAAAACCACAGAAACAGAATGAGTAAGATGTGGATTTCTTTTACAAAAAAGACCTGTTGGCCAATTACATGTTCTTGATTTTCAGGGCAAGTTTTGAGAATAGCAGTAAATGTTCACTCATTCAAACTTTTCCTTATGAGGACTGTGAAAGAAGAAACTATGCCAAAATAAAAAATACAGTTTTGGTTCCAAGGATACATACTAAAAACCACGCAGATACGAAAGTCCTCTTAGTAAATTTCCTATGAGATAGACTGAATCCCTGAAATCATACAAACCATTTCTTCATGAAGAGCATAAGCCAGACTGGCATTCTCAGCAATCCACACCTCATGTTACCAGGTATTGCTACTACTACTACTACTACTACTAGTAACATCATCATCATATAAACAACAACTCCTTTAGGCCTTGCTGAGGCCCAAGGAAACTGAAGGACCTAAAACGAAATCAGCAAGCATACCATTTTTTTAAAACAAACTCCAGTGGTACATAAAATAAAACCAGGACTCTTCTAATCAATATTAATTTTATGTTAAATAAACAGTAACTCATAACTCCTGAGGTTTTTCATTTATAAAGTGCAGGAATAATGCAGAGTCTGCTAACCACACAAACCACTTAATCTTTTTCAAATATAACAAAGATTTCAATCCTTATTCAAAATTACTTACCTCAGTTCTTGCAGGGTAGGTGCTGGAACTGCAATTAATTGTGTAATTTGATTGTTGGTCATGTTCTTAACCTGTTAGAAACAAAAATTCCACAGCTAAATAAAATGAGTGAATTTTATCCTTAGAAGAAACATGTTTGTTTCACACAAGTCTGCAATTCCAAAGGTAAGAAGCACATTTTCTCATTAATACATTTCAACAAATATTTACCATAACATTGTTGTCACAAATTATGTAAGGAATTGGCTCATCTAGTATAGTCTGAGTAACAGGATCTGTTTTGGGAAAGATATGGGCAAGAGGATATTGACCTCAACATATCTCATGTTGAAAAGAGTGGAATTTGGAATTTGGCTTAGTTTGCAACAAATGCAGCTTAGACCAGACACTGAACAAACTTTCTAAGTGCAGCAATGGGACAAGTTGCAAAATAGACATAAGTAACCAACAGTGTAGAATCCTGGGAAAAAGAAGTCAAAAACTTAGGTGACAGGCATGGTAGTAATGATCTAAATAAATATGATTAGGGCCAGAGAACACCGTAAGGTTTATCTAAATGCCCTTTTTAGATCTGCATTCTTACGTTCTTTTGGTTGCCACGATGCAAACAGCGGACACTCTGATGAAAACATCATCTAATGTATATAGTATTGACATTACCTAAGAAGTATTCTAAAAAGTAGAAGAGCTTCAAGAGACAGTAAAACCATTCTTCTAATAGCGGTAGGTGAAACGTTAATACACCAGGATGGTATCAGTAGGCATTATCACCACTGAAATACAACATGATACAGAGGTGGCTTTTGCCAGGGGCCTACTCCTGCCCAAACTCAATGCTTCATGCACACCTGTGCAGTAGCTTTCTGTGGTGATTTTGCTGACTACTCTCATGTCTGCAGAGTCTGGCATGTCAAATTCCACATTGAGTGCAGGCAGGATTGTGTAGAAGAAAGATACAAGGCCCTTCACAAGTTAATGTCTCCTTTTTTTCCAGTTTTCATCTGCAACAACTAAATATTCTCATCCTCATAGCATTATCTCAATACTGAATAATCTGTATCGTCCCTGCTTTGCATGATACTGTTCCTTTAAACCTCATGTTGTGTAAGTGGGCACACTTGTGTCACATAGGCTTATTGCAAAATTAATAACTGATTAGCCACATGTCAAAAAGCATAGAACGATACCCTATTTGTGAGAGTCTCAAGATGAATTATTCCCAGGAAACAATCTAACTTAATTTGTGCTCACACTGTTGCCATCCAAATCTCCAAAGGAAGATACTGTAAGCCTGAATGTAAATTATTAATTAGGCAGTTCCTCTCTCCAGACTTCCCAGGGCTTCCCCCTCCTTTCAGTGGCTACACAGAGAATACAGGCCCTTACTGTATGAAGTTTACTTAGTTGAATTATAAAATTTAGCTGCAAAGCAACTGTTTGAGAGTGAGCGAGCAAATCCATCCACTGCAAATATTACCTTGTACTGCAAATTATATTTGAAATAAAACAAAACTATACAAGCCATAACAAGAATCATATTAAGGTGTTAGTATTTTTAGTGTAAACAAAAAAACATATTTCAACCTTCCGTACAATAACATTTTAACAGAGAGAACACTTACTATTTCTACTTTTAGTGATGTGTTACTTTCTTCACTTGCCTGAAGTTTTACCTTCCCCACATAGAACACTAAAACCAAAACCAAAAAAGTTAAGAAAATCAACACTATAACACGATGTAAAATCACTTGAGAAATTAAAAATTCACTCTCTTGTATTGCAATAGAAGCGAAATGAGTACTTACACTAGCTTTTCTGATAATTCACTATTTTTGCAATTGTTATTCCATCTCTTCACTTACTATTTCCAAAAATGAAATAATCCAATAGCTTTCAGTATTTTCTATATGTTTAGTTTTGATGGTTGTCTCTAAATTCCTTCTAGTTCTCACCCTCGGAACAGGAAAACCCCATTGCACATTACTATTAATACAACTCCAACTCCCACAATGAGAATAAAATATGTGGGTAAAGGCAAAGTCCTACTCTGAAAATTATTCCCTTGGGACTAAGGAACTTTCAGGATACTGTAATTCAAAGCAACATTCAACGCTCCTTGAGAGCTGGGAAGTCCATTTTGGAGACAAAAAGGAACCTCTATGACACTTCTCTTCCTGCAGCCACACATTCAGTGAAGGCTGTTGATAAAAGGCCCATACAGGAATGAATACATGACATCACCCAAATCATCTAGCAGTTTATTCCACCAGTCAGCAGGGAAACTTGGGGTAGGGGCCAGTTACTTATTTTGCCTCTTTCTCACCTTTAAAGTACTCTGCATATGGCTACTTGGCAGAAGTAACTTCATTTGCTTAAGTATTTCTCACAAAAGCCATTTAACAGTGTTTTGGAAGCCAGCAACATGTAGCAACAAAATCTTCTTTTAAGATGTTTTTGTTAACACACATATATGGAACATCACGGCCCTTTCCACTTTCTTTTGTTTGTCTGTTCTGGCACATTACACTTTTAATAAACACACAGACTTTTACAGTAATTCTAAACACTATTTCGACTTCTACTCCTGATACAGTTAGGCTCAATAAGGTAAGCATCAGCATCCACCACAGGACAGTAGTTTCTTTTTTCCTCAGGTTTGTAATTCTTATTTGCGACTGTGTATCCTTTGATAAGAAACCAAAAATAAAAAAATACAATAGACTAAACATTACTTTAAAATATCTCCCCCCCTTTTTTTTTTTAAGTTATACAAACTCTCTCTAAATTCACAAGAAATTTACTGCAGAGATAGTTTGTACATAACAACTGAAAGTTGATTTATTACTCAATGATTTTTGTACATGGTTTTCATAAGCAAAAAAGGAAATAGAAAACTACTAACCTGAAAAATTACAGACAGTTGTTACGTTGCATAAAATGGTTTCTCCTGCTATAGTTTTTTGGGGGACAAAAAAAATCTAGTGAGTAAAAAAGTTGAATTTAAACCCAGTACTGACAAATGTACATATTTACAATAATTTCAATATTTTAAATGTAAAGGTCTTTACCTTTTAGAAATATTTCACATACTGTTTAGTCTTCACTTCTTTGGGATACTTACTATGACATCTTCCAAAACTTACCATTCAGAGTAAAACATGATGGCTTTGATTAATTAATTTTGAATCTTTTCTGTAACAGTTTCCACAGAAGACCGACATGCAAATGATTGGTTGTGGGTTTGTTTTAGTTTGGTTTTTAATTCAAGTAAAACAGAAATCAGTGTATCATAAGTAAACTCTTCAAACATCACCATATTCAGTCACTAGGTAGTGTGTTATCTGCTTCTGAGGGTCCTACTATGGCTACTTATGGTAGAATGAGACTATAACTGTTCTACCTGATAGAATTCAAGCTATGGTAACAGCAAGAACGCATATTCTTACTAGCAGAACATGTTATTCGTTAGTTACAGCAAGCTTTTGGCTGCTCCCGTATTTTTAATACTACCTACACTGCAAAGAAATAACATGGGTCCCATATTAAGTAAACAGATAGTTCGCTGTATAAACTCAAAACATAGGACTGGAAAAATATTTGCATCTGAGACAAAACTCCCACGCTTGTTCACAAAAACAACATGGCAGCACAACTTTCCTTACTTAAGCAGATAAGATTGCCCTCCACTGACAGAAAAACAAATGCTATTTTCTCTGCTGTTATCATTGGCTATACCAAATGAAATGGAATTTTTTAACATTTTTTACTCTTTCTGTGCTACAAGTATTTGCCTGTTATAGCTTGATGCTTCATCAGTTTTATCACCATCAATAAACTACCATCAGTGCATACAGACTGTAACCTGGTAGCAATACTAAAATTAGTAGAAAACATTATTTTCAGCCTAATAAATTTGCCTTCCCTTTGGTATTGGCAGTTGTCAGTGAAATAGTTATGAAAACTGTATAATCACTTAAAAAAAAAAATCCTTAAAGAAATGTTAATAAACAACTGAATTTGTCAAAATTTTCAACTACATAAAGAATAACAAAAACCGAACACAAAATCCAGGAGTGACACAAAAGTAAAAACTAACATCAGTCTTTTCTCTTTTCAGAGCACCCACTGGTATGACACCTAGTCCATTTGTACTAATTCAGTGCAAATACATCCTAATTGGTCTATCAAGCTACTAACTGGATAACAAAAAATTAATTCAGCCTACTCCTATAGCCTGGACCTGCCCTGAGAATATCATGACTGGATTCATTCTGCATCAATCTACTAAAAGGCATGAGGATTATGTTTTTTTAAGCAAACATGGTCCCTGAGGTGTGGAGACAGTGTTCTCACAGGAGAATGGATAATTGGTACATAAATCCTGAAAGATACAGCAAGGCCATGAGAGGCCCGAGGAAGCCTAAACAAGCAAGATAAGAAGAAGCTGGAATTAACTGAGTTAACAAGAACTGTGGACTGTTGGCAAGCTTTTGAGGTCAAGTTCTCACACCTGTGATTAACCAATTATATGTTAGTCACTAAGGGTCTTCAAGACATGTATCCAATCATGATATGCCAAATGACTGTAAGTGCACGTAAGAAATAGTATATAAGGGCTTAAGGCTTTGTAATAAATGGCTTTTGTCTGATCATATTGATCTCTGACTGGGTCCATATATTTTCTGCGGCGCTGAGGTTGTGTTTCTTACGTCTCTGTGGTAACCTGCTGCTCTGACTTACAAAATGACCAAACTCCTCTGTCTATGGCCATCTAGGCAACCACTGCAAAATTAAACCTTCTACCAGACTGGAGATCAATATGACATAAGGCAGACTGCTAATATGACACACCACTGTAACAAGGAAGATCCTATTAAAAACATTTGAGAGCACACTTCCTAAACTCACACACACTTGAAGTTTGACAAGCATAAAAGAAGACAAGTGGGGACATATGAATCTTACCTGGTGTTACAGTGGAGTAATAATCAGTGACGTTAAGAGCCTCTGTTAAAAAAAAAAAAAGTTTCAAAATCAAGTTTTCATATTTTAACTTAAAAATATGATATGAAATACATGTCACAAAAATAAGTTTCCTACTTTTCAGTTTAGGCTCTGTCTTTCCAGGAAAAATGGGAAATAAAAAGCACGGCTCAGAGTGAGATCCATCTAATCCAATGTCTGTGTCCCCATATGAGCTAGTTACTCTAGGCTCCCTTTATTCAGTGGAGAAAGTGATGCTTTTAAAGTTGTGATTCACATTTAACCTATCCTACATGGGTATTTCAGCATAAGATTAATCATGTTCTACAAACATGTCTTTCTGTCCATCAGTTCTGAACAGCAAGATGCCTAGCTCATATACGAATATGTAAGAATCTGTACTGACTTGCGATGAGCATATTCCTTGTTTTCAAATACAAGCATCAGGAAAAAAAAAGGGGCAGCAAGTTCTGAGTCTTTAATGACTGTATTTGGCAACTCATTGCAAGAACATATATAGAACCATAGAATCATAGAAGCATGAACATGTTATCATGTCCCTTTAAGGAAGGGGGTGTACATTTCACTTAACACTTTAAATAGCATCAGAAAGTATAGAAAACATTCTATATATAGATACAGCAAAAAACTACATACTTGCTAAACAGAAATATACCCAGTTTGGGCTTTGGTAATGTTCTGGGTTCAGCAGTAGCAGTTTTTTTCTCCTTCTTAGTGGCTGGTGCAGTGCTGTAGTTTTGACTTTCAGCCTGGGAACAGCTCTGGTAACACTGATGTTTTTAGTTGTTGCTCAGTAATGTTTAATCTGACCAACAACTTTTCTGAGTCTCATGCTCTGCCAGGGAGGAGGGGAAGCCAGGAGGAGAGAGACAGGACACTTGACCCAAACTAGCCAAAGAGGTATTCCACACCACAGCACGTCATGCCCAGTATATAAACTGGGGGCAGTTACCCGGAAGGGCTAGATCACTGCTTGGGTCAGGCTGGGTATCGGTCAGCAGGTGGTAAGTGATTGTATTCTCTTCCCTTGTTATTTCCCTTATCGGTGGTAGCAGTAGTGATTTGTGTTATACCTGAGCTACTGGACTGTTCTTATCTCAACCAGTGGGAGTTACATTCTTTCAATTCTCCTCCCCATCTCTCAGGGGGGGAGTGAGTGAGAAGCTGCGTGGTTCTGGGTTGCCAGCTGGGCTTAAACCACAACAGTTCTTTTTGGCACCAAACGTGGGGCACGAAGGGTTGAGATAACAACAGATCTGACCCGAGTGTGTCTAAACGTATTTGTGAAAAGCATTCATTTTTTTGGATTAATAGTCACTCATCACAATGCTAATTTATTGGCTCTCAAAGTTGTTGCTCTTGATCTTGGAGATTCAGCATGTCGTAGCTTACTTACAGCTGGTATTTGCTGTTTTAGTGTTTATCAGCTGGGGGGCCTGGGCTAGGGTTATTGTTTTGCTGTACTTCATGGGCGTGACTTGTAATGCAATATACTGTCCTGGGTTCAGCAGTAGCAGTCATTTTTCTCCTTAGTAGCTGGTGCAGTGCTGTGTTTTTTACTTTCAGCCTGGGCTGCGTGGTTCTGGGTTGCCAGCTGGGCTTAAACCACGACAGGTAAGCAATGTATTATTTTGAATACAAATGAAAGCTCGGTGTCAGTTAAATGCTATTCAAAACCCTACCCATGCAGACTTAAAATACAGACTGCAGATAAATAAAATTTTAAGATCATGTAAGAAAATAATTTGGACTAAACAAATCAGTTATTAAAAACATTCAGGTTTCATTAATGCAACAAACATCTCCCTTCAGATCTTAACACTCTTCATGCTATTTCTCACCTGCAGTTTGTGTAGTCTTCTCCAAAATCATATCTGAAGAAGAAAAATAACAGTAAAAACCATTAAAAAATAGAATAAAAATCTATAAAATCTAAAGAAAAAAATAATCTAAATCTAACTAAATCTAAATAACGGAGACATTAATAAAATCTTGCCTGAAGGGTTAATAGGATACATGACATAAGTAAAAATAGAGGATTCTGGGGAAAAAAAAGAAGACAAAATTGCATTAATATAATATTTTATTTCTATGATTTTTGGAGAAAAAAGATGGAAAACTTTGAATGTAATATTTATCTAAGATCCATTTTAAAACCAATTGCATTGTTTATTAAAAATGTTCCAATTATTTCAATACAAGTATTTGAAATAATGCTCACATTATTTAAAAAATCTGAGTAACAGAATACAAACAGCTCGTAATGGAGTTCCTTCAGAGAAGTTCCTTTTACTGATTTCATTCTTTTAGAAGATCCAGATGAATTTGGCACACCCAGTAGTAATAAGCACTTAGCCCCAAGGATCTTCTCCTGCACAAGCAGAGATGACACACTGGGTCTGGCAAACTATGTCTTAAAAAAGCTGTTTTTTACAGTAACCATATATAAATAAAATAGAGTAAGAATGCAAATTTTTTTTAGCTACATCAAAAGAAAAAAAAAAAAGATCATTACATCAAGACAGTGGAAGAAAATTTAACTATTGCTTAGGAAGGATGTGCTTGGTAAGCATTTTTTAGGTGTCAGGGCAGGAATACAAGGTAGAGGACCACTTTATATCACTCCAATATGACAACTTAGTGACTTTTTCTAAATGGGCCAGAGCAGCTTCATAGCAGAAGAACACTATGTTTTCCAAACTTCTTCACTAAAAGCATTAGTAGGAACAGTATCTTAAGTATAATAAACAAAAGTTGGTGACTTTGCATAAAGATAGCTGCATATCAATACAAAAAAGTAATCTACTTCATTACATTGAACGGGATCTGTTCTTTCTGTAAATATATAATACCGTATAAGCCATATAAACCCATATAAACCATAATAAATATATATATAATAAATGAGCCAAATAAGCATATTTAGCTCTTAAGTAACAATACTGAAGACAAATTATTTTCTAAGCCAACTAACAAGCAGCCAAAATATGAGGAATCTGAGTGGAAACTAAATGCTGATTTCATCTGTTTTATTTGGCTTGGTATAAACTACAACAAATATTGAATTGGCTGCAGTTCTTAAAGATGAACCATTTCCAGAGAAAGACTGTATCTGTAAAAAACCAAAAGCATGTGTGTGTGTCTGAATTATTTCTTTTCTCCAGAGCACGATATGTCAGTATACATTAAGCAAGAAAGTTTTCACACAGCTATTTCTGCGTGTCTAAATTTTTCATTTAAAAAAATGCTTTCATAGAGTGTGTTCATCACCTCTGGTCCCAGAATTTTTTAGTTTCGTGTGTGTATGTGCGTGCACATGCATGCAGTATACCACACCACATGAAATGACATATGCACATCTGCTAGACTGGGAGGAAATGTAAGTGAGCTCTCTCACTACAGTGCTTCTCCTCTGCCATCTCTGCAAACTGTTCACTCTTCAGGTTACTGGACAAAGGCCTCCTGATCAAACAACTTGCCCCTCCTTTGTCCCCAAGCATCACTGTCACAAACCATGAGTGATCCTATAAGGTAAGTTATTTTACTGCAAAGTAGAATTAAGAAATTAATCTACTCTTCAAAAATAAACAATAAAAACCTTAAGTGTTGGAACTTTTTTGCATCACAACTTTCCTGCATTACCTCAGATAAAAGCAGATTTATCTATCAGGAAGTAACAAATATTGCAGTAAAATCCTGATTTTCTTACCAGAAATGGTTGTTACAGCCGATTCTTCCGAATCATCACCTTTTTTACAGACACGAAAAAAAAGAAAAAAAGAGAGGGAGAGAGAGAGAAAAAACCCATAAAGAAGTTTCTAACACATACATAACAGACCTTAGCAGCATTTCCTTATGTATCAAAGTTTATTGCATTTACCAGCAGAGGGCAACACCTGCTTACCAGAACACTTCCAGCTTGCCGAAAAAGGCAGATGTAACAAATCTCTGATGAAAAAAAATTTACCATTTTTATGAATTCAAATAGAATTCGTCCAAAGACGATTTCCTTTCAACAAATATTGAGTCGTTTTCATTGTATAGTGTTAAGAAAACAAAAATAATTGACCCAAGATATGTACCACGCTAACCTGAAAGCCACAGACGTACCCTGACTGTCTAATTCTGGGAATGGGAATTAAGCATACGTCACAAGATGGCTATAGGTGGGTACAAAGAACTCTCCTCAGACGTTGTACAATAATACTGAGACTTGGCAAGTTTATCCCATACACATCTGTTCTTCCTTCTATCCTTCAAAGAACAGCAATCCAAAAACCTAACTCAAGTCTGAACCTCTGATTGTGATACCAGCCAGCTAACTTTATATAGCAAACACCACTCACTAAATCTTTAATGTTGTTGAAGTCAGTATTTTGATTACACACAAAAAAAAAAACAAACATGAAATTTGGTATCTGGTTGCCACACCAACTTCAAAATTAGCTCTTTCATTCGTAGAGTGGTATTTGACAGTGACATTGACAAGTCAAATCACAGTTTCCATAGATAACCTAAAGAACAGCTGGCTGCAAATATTAAATACTATTTACAAAAACATACTTAAGGTATTTCAGCTCAGCATCTTCTCTCAAAACTCAAGTCATCCTATAATGTTACTTGCAATACACTAATTATACTATAAAGGCTTTCCTGTGGTAGAAGAGGTAAGTCAGAGATACCAAAAGTCCCTGCAGAAACCCAGAAATTTTTTTTTTTGTTAAATATAGTTAACAAGGAATTTCTGAAATGCTAATCACTCCCATGATTCCTTGTTCAGACTATTTTGCTTGCTATAATGAAAACTAGTATTAGCTCATTTCCAAAGGAAAAACAGAAATCTAATTTCTGCAGTGAAAGGAGAATAAGCCATCTTAAGTGATCTCATTTTCATTTTCTCTGGAAAATTAATGATGTTATTTGCATGATGAAATATACTAATAAGCCACAAGGATGATATGGATAATTAATTTACAAATATTTGCATATACTTAACTATCTCCATGAATTAAAAAGTAACAGCAGCAGCAATCTTTCTACTCACTTTCTAAAATATAAGAACAATGGGGAAAAAAATTACACAGAACCCCCATATACCTGTTGTATCTCTTCTGCCAGGCAGCGTAGCAGCAGTGTCAACTACAAAGGAAGAAGATTTTTTTAGGAGCAGAAGTTTTTATATATATTTTTATAAATGCAGATATACAAATATTTTTTTAAACACAACCATTTTACATGTGCTACTCACTTCAAGCTGGTGTACAAAAACTGCTCTGCATCCATTGAAAAAATGTATGTCAAGTCTTTTTGAAAGCTGGAATTTGAACTCTTATGAGTTCCATTTTTTACTCAGTATATCACTTTAATGCTTATGGAAGACACAGATTAGCCTGTGAGCCTTTCCACTACCCTTCCATTGCTAATGTCTTCAGAAACTGTTTCAGCACAGTTGCTTGAGTGAAGATGAACTAGATTAAATAGCAGCAATCAAAAAAGTAACAGGCATGCACAACTGTGCTTTCATACAACTATTTTTGCAAAAATGTGGAAATGCTGCTGAATTATTCAGAAAGTGAAATTTTATTAATTCAAAGAGAAACAGAGAAATTAAACGAACAAAAAGCATGGGGCAGGAGAGTCGGGTAGGACACGGATGCTTTATTCCACACATACTTACGAATTACATGACACGCACTTTGAGAATACATCTACATCATGATGCGCATATACATCATGTAAACACTCACACGCCCAAGAACTGCATGATCAAAGAACATCTAAACAATGAGCAGATAGATCAGGGTGTAGGAGACCTGCATGGATGAACAAGGAACTCCTCTCTAAACTCAAACACAAGCAAAAAATATACAGGAGGTGGAAGCAGGGACAGGCCACTTGGGATGAATACAGGGATGTTGTGACAATTTGAGGAAATTTGATGAGGAGAGCCAATGTCCATTTGGAATTATATCTGACTGTCAAAAACAACAAGAAGGGCTTCTTCAAATACATCAGTAATAAAAAGGAGAACTAGGGAAAAAGTAGGCCCAATACGGAATGCAGCAGAGGCCCTGGCAACAGAGAACAGAGAAGGCAGAGGTACTAAATGTCTTCTTTGCTTCAGTCTTCCATGCCAATGCCAGCCCTCAGGAACCCCTGACCCAGGAGACCAGGGAGAAGATCTGGAGAAAGGAAGTCTTTTGTGAGAGTTGGGTTAGAAATCATTTATACAAATTTGACATCCATGAGTCCATGGGCCCTGACAGGATGCACTCACGAGTTCTGAGGAAGCTGGTGGATGTCATTGCCAGGCCACTCTCGATCATCTTTGAAAGATCACAGCAATCAGAAGAGGTCATGTGGACAAAAGCAAATGTCACCACAGTATTCACAAAGGGCAAGAAGGAGGACTCTGGGAACTACAGGCCAACCAGCCTCACTTCAATCCCTGGAAAGGTGTGGAACAGCTCGTCATGAAGGCCATCTCTTGGAAGACAAGAAGGTGATCAGGAGTAGTCAGCATAGACTCACCAAAAGAAAATCATGCTTAACCAATTGGATCGCCTTCTACCATGGTTCAATTGGCTGGATAGATGAAGGGAGAACAGTGGATGTTGCCTATGTGGACTTCAGCAGGCTTTTGACACTGTCTTCCGTAACATCCTTATAGCCAAGCTGAGGAAGTGTGGGCTGAACGAGTGAATTGTGAGGTGGATTGAGAACTAGCTGAATGGCAGGACTCAGAGGGCTGTGATCAGTGACACAGAGTCTAACTGGAGACCTGTAACTAGTGGTATCCCCCATGGGCCAGTATTGGGCCTAGTATTGTTTAACTTATTTATCAATTACTTGGATGAAGGGAAGCAGTGCCTCCTCAGCAAGTTTCCTGACAATGCAAACTGGGAGAACTGGCTGATACCTCAGTACAGGGCAGGGATCTGGAGGTTCTGATGGACAGCAAGTTGTCCGTGAGTCAACAGCAAAGTGCCCTTGCCGTCAAGAAGGCCAGTGGTATCCTGCACTGCCTTAGAAAGAGCACTGCCAGCAGGTTGAGGGAGGCAGTCCTTCCTCACTACTCAGCCATGGTGAGGCCCACCTGAAATGCTGTGTCCAGTCTTGGGCTCCTCAGCTCAAGAGAGACATGGAGATCCTACAGCGAAGGGCTACTAAATTATTAAGGGTCTGGCGCATCTCTCATAATGACATGCATAATCAGAGGGACACTTTTTTCTGGATGCAAATCTAATCATGACTTCTTTCACAGCACAATATTCACTTGCATACAGTTGCTAGAAATTACTAGTGAGAATGAGACTTCTTCCTGATCAAGGTGCAGCATTAATTTCACTAAGTCTTTTATCAGAATCACCTCTGCATACAGAAAGCAGGAAAGAGGAGATGCTGTCATACATTATTTAATTTCACTTACATTTGTCAACCCTCCTCCTTTGTTGTGTTTAAGAACTAGAAAAGACAGTGAATAGGGCTTTATTTTTTATTTCCCTTACATTGTTTACTACTGCTAAGAGGAAGAAGACCCTTACCTATATGAAACTTTGTTTTATTTGCTTCATGTATTTGCAACACTGTTAGCTCAGGATCATCAAATCAACATGCCAAATACCCTATTGTAAAACACGGTATTATATATATTAGTTACACTTTCCTATATTTTCTCAGGGAACATTACAGAAATGAGTAGGCAAGTAACATTTTTCAGTGTTATTCTTTCCTTTTGTTGATGCAAGGGAGACAATAGGTCCCCACAATACTACTTGTTTCTGAAGGAAAAGGCAAGTCGACTAAATAAGCACCAGTATCTGTTACTAACATGCATCATTAGAAACAAAAGCAGCATGCCCCTTACTGTCTTCATATCACTTTGTACTATTCTGACACAAATAGTTTGGTAAACCAAGACTCGAGAATTCTGTATGTATAGCCAAACTGTTCCACTGGTATAAAGCCTGTTTAGAAACTCTTGCTATTGCTCCATACCACGGCTGCAAAAAGCTTACCTGGGAACAAGTATTTGCATTGTGACAACTTTAATTTCCCATTTGATTTTGTATGACAATGGGAACCACTGTAACTTTAACAGTTCCAGTCTGGTAGGAGACTAAATCCTTGAATAACAGTACTTAAGCCTAAATCCACAACGTTGACATAGCTCTGATAACACTGTCTGCCCCTGTCTACAAAACAGCCTTGTGCTTACAGCATTTCTTAGAATGACTGATCTTAATCAACAGCCTACTCGCTTTTTTAGGATGGGATGGTCTCCACCTATCCTGCTGAAGCTGTCCTAACAAGCAAAGCAGAATTCAAAATTCAATTCACCCAAAGAGAAAGAAAAAAGAAGATTTGTAACACACTGGTCAAGATGTGATGGATGGTTCTGGTCCCGTTACCAAAGTCATCGTCACTTTTTGTGTCTTTTTGTTTAGTAACTCAGAGGGTACAGAAAAAGCCCTTAAAGTATGAACCATGTACAATGTTCTATCTCCAACCGGAAGAATTAAAAATACCATTTTCTTCTCCATAGTACCAACCTAATTTATGATCAGTACACACTTTCTTAAAACTTTTGGAAAGGCAGTACCCTTTCTCATTCACCTGTATTCAGACAACTCACTTTGCCAGCAGCAGTTCAGTTTTCCCAGGTGGAGGAGCGAGAAACAATTAGAACCTGGCTGCAGATAACAACATCATGAAAGAACTAAGTTACTGGCAGCCGCTTCTTGCTACCCTATCTCAGTGCTGTTTTACCTTTTTAGCACCCCAGGATCACCTTTAAACTTTTGCAGAAAGCATTGTTTGAGCAAGCCTGAGACAGCAACTGAAGTGATTTCTTTGGGGAAAAAGTCTGAACTGGAGTCCACATGAACACCCACCCTGCCCAGTCCGTGTGGTGTGGAGGGGCAGGGGATGGTACAGCAGGAAGGGTCATGTATGCTGACCTCTGTCTCTCAGAAAACTTGGTGACAGAATGTAAGGAGCAGTTACTTCATAGTCAAGTCCAGACACAGCACTTCAACCAGGTCAGCTCTCACAAACAGATCATCAGCAAAATCTGAATGGAAGAATCCCAAGGGACACCTTGATCTCCCTATACTGCAGTACTTGGCTGACACCACAGAATACTATTAGATGACCACAAATGTGTACTGCTGATACAGTTTTGATTTACAAATACAAACAAAAATACCAGGAAATTAGTAAAAAACATCGATCTTTTAAATAAGATGTGATAGCAAACACAGCATATGAAAAATTCAGCTGATTCATGCAGGGGAATTGGTTTGCAGTAAAAATTCCCTCAAAAAACTACAAAGTGGAAGTTTTTATTCCAAACAGATACCTATCACTTTGTGGCTTTAAAATAAAAATAACTAAAAAAAAAAAAACAAAACAAAAAAACAAACCAAACCAACCCCAACTACTTTAGATCAACAAGTCCACACTGCATTTTTAAGTCAATACAAATCCTTTTCTAAACGTTCTCACAGGCAACAGTTATCAGTATGTATTACATCAGTTACCAGCACTGTGCAACAACCACCATCCATTTGTATTCAGTGTTACTAGGATACAACCATATGATAATACCTGGCATTAATGCATTTCGTAGGACTTGCTCATAGACAAACCTGAGTAGCCCAAACAGCAACATTTCCAAATGATATTATTCTAAAATTGATCTGTTTACAGAAATGGACACTGAAAATAAAACATTCAATTCTCATATTAAAATTAAATCTGTATTTTCTATTAAGAGATTGGGTCCCTTTAATATTTTATAAACCTTTCAGCTGGATAAACATTCTGCCAAAATGAACCGTCCTGTTACACAAGGCATTAGTAACAGTAACACCTCCCAGCTGTTCCACTGTAGACATTAGGCCATATTGACTTTTTCCGTAAGTTAGGTTGAGGCACATTGTAGAAGTTTATAGGATAAAACTGTGTTCACTCTATATTTTATTGTTTGGTGCCTCTCATGACACTTCCCATCTGCTCCGACTCTTGGCAGTGGCATCATGGAAGAAAGGATGAATTATCACTGGCTATTGGACAGAAGCATATGTAAGAAAATGATGAAAGTGCTTGTTCACATCAGGCTCTGTCACTTTGGCCAGTTCATTTTAGTATCCTTAAGAGAAAATTTAGGTGCAATATTTTGAACTCAACTTTGATTTCCAAAAAACAAGTTTTTTAGGAAGCAGGGTTATAAATACAGTTTTTATCTGTTTGTATAAAGCTGTACATTAGATACTAAGGTGAATAAAATCACCTCTTCTCTGGCAGGCTTATTTCCAAAAAGCTACTTTCTTTGATATCACATAAGAGGGAGGCAATAAGAGCAAAGAAAGGGAAGGTCAAACATGCATTCTGTTAATAGGTAAAAAGTAGAGTGGTACATGACTCATCAAATAGGCACTCCAGAGTCAGGTATTATTTCCCTGTCACATTTACTTCCTTTAAGAGCTTCTAGAGGTTTCTGTGGTATTGTGTCCTTACAGTTTTAGAAAAGAAAATGGTACTGGGGAAAAATTTTATTTCGGCACCTCCAGCTTTCATGATCTGCTCAGTAAATGTGACAATATGGCCCCAAGTTTCATACCCAACAGACAGGGATGCAGACTGGATGAGCGGCAGCTACATTTCCACCTTCTGCCTGAGGAGGTGAAGCCCTGGGACTCCACCCCCTCTTTTGAGAAAGCTGATCCAGTCATCAAGTGCGCATAGCTCTGGAAACCTTTAAGAGGGATTACATGAGCCTAAATCATACCTCCTGTTCCCCACACCTGCAAACTAGAATGACTGCCCAAACTGAAGTTTTCTCTTCCTTGAGCATGCAAAGGTGAAATAGTCACACAAGGCACCAGTCACTTCCCATTTCTCCCATCAGCATCACTGCTTTGCTTCCACAAGCCCAGAAATCCCCTCCAGCAACACCAGTATCAGGCTCAGCAATATTGGAAGTGAAAAGAATACAAGGAATAGAGGGGGCAACACCTTAATCTTGAAAGTTGGACAGGACAGTTTAGAAAAATCTAAAATGCCACAGCATTAATACTGAAATGTATTTCTTAAAAAAAAAAAAAGTAAAAAAAAAAAGCAACCAAAAGCAACAGGCACCAGACTCCTGCTGAAAGGGCATCTGTACCACAAAATGAGATGACGGTGCTTTATGGTCAGTGATACTATTTACAGTTAGGCCATGAATAATCTGGTTTATTTACTCCTTGAAATTTGTAAAAGATACCCCATCATCTCTGTGCTCCTTTGCATAAATACACAGTGTAACAGTTTGGATATTTATATTTGGATAAGGAATGTTACTGTTTAATGTGTAACTGAAATGATTAATGTTTAAACAGTACATTTCTTCCAGTTGTCAAGTTGTTATTAAAGGCAACTTGCAAATATCCCAGGTAAAAATGACGACTCGTGCTCACAGATGACTAAAATAACTTTCCAAGCATTTAGCATTTTAAACTCACCTATATTCTTGTGGGTTTGTATTCTCTTAAATCACCCAGAGCTTTTTTAGTGCACTTTTTCCCTTGAATTATGAAGAGACAATAGTAATATAATTAAAGTGTGCTAAATAGAATAGTATAGACAAATAGAAATAATTCATCAAGGGACAAGATAAAGAGTTTCCAAAGTCAGTATTTGGAACAGTGAACGCATCTTTCTTCACTTATACATTTTTTAAAACCAGGGGATCTTTAAAGTGAGATATGTTTCTCCATATCACAGCTGTTATGCTAGTTCTCATTCTCAGAAAAAAGAGGAATTATCAAAGGTACGTGAGGAATGTAAGTAGATTAGTGATGCACAATGTGTGGGGCCTCCTCCCCTCTTTAGTCCTACCTGCAGTATTTACACCTGCTCAGCATATAATGGCTACACCAGAGGAGAACCAGAAGACTGTGTTACTTGAAAGAAGCAGAGTTGCATCTCCACCTCAGACCTGAAAGTTTGCTACTGCTAAATTCCATTAGTCCAAGAAATGTGATAAGCTCTCATCACAAACTGGGAAGCAGTAATTTATGTCCTTTCTTGCAAATCTTCAGACATAGAAGTTACAAAGCTACTGCAAAGGTAATACCATCTGCTTCTGGGGACAAGATACTTGGTTAAAGCTAAGCATGCCATTAAGTGCTAAGCGAATGTGTAAATCTTACCAGAATTGGGATTCTGGTCCTTATTAGATCTCACATGGTTAAGAAAAAACTAAATACACATTTTTGGTAATCTGAAAAAGTATTATAAAAATAAATAATAAAATCAAAAGAATCTGAAGAGTCAACAGAAAGAAAGGTGGGAAAAGAAGGTAAGGAAACATAACCTAATAATGTGATGTTAAGTCAACCTAGATTTCTTAATGGAGAGCATCCATTTAGTGGAGTGTTGCCTGTGAGACACCAGCTAGCTAGTGGCTTACAATCACAAAGATTTTGGGTGATCAAGTGAAGGAGAAATCACAGTAACCTTTGACTAAATATTTTACAAGCTGTTGTTTTATGAAGGCAAAAAATGCCAACCAAGTCATTAAAAAAAAAATTTTAAACTTGTCCTCCAGCACAATTACAGCAGTAATAAACCACTTCCTTTTCACCTTTCCGTCCTACGCAGGAGGTGTAGCTTTTCCCAGGCTTTAGCCCTTTGCCAATTATGTTCTTTGCGGGTGCAAAATTAGATCTTCTTGAAGACTTGCTACTCAAAATCCTTCTGTTTTAACAAATAGAGAAGCCTCCAAAATCAGGTAATTTTTACACAGGTGTACAGAGGAACTTATACAAAGAAATCAGAACTAGTAGAACTATCAAATTAAAATTGCCAGGCACTATGATATGCTCCTACTGTCAATGCTTCGGTTTTGTTTAATCGTTGAACTGATATTTGCTAAATATATGCATTTCACTGGCTGATTTGGAGGGGGAGAGCAATCAGCTAAAGTAGGCAAACTGTTGCAAAAAATCCAGTGAACTTTTCTTCGAAAAGTTGTTTTTCTTCCAAGTTATCTAGAGGAGATAACATATTTGGCAGTAGAGATGGTCTCTGTACCAAAACAAACCTCTATCAGCATAATTAGAGTTCAATTTGAGCTTCAGAAACCACACATCTTACACACTCCAGTACTAGAAAGCTCTTGCAGATAGACAAAGGATTCCACAAGCCCTTAAATCACTCATTTTAAGATCATAAATCATTTGGGGCTGGAGTTGCGCACTGCCTAACCAAGCTGTCATGTTCCATATTCAGGGCAGAAAGAGCTAGAACTGAAAACAAGCAGGCTATCCTTTCTGTGCCCAGTAAAAGATAATCAGATGCACCACTCTGACTAATGTATAACCCACTATTCAGGCAGATGTCTCTCAGACTTTCTTTGCACCAAGCTTTTGTCTGGTAGGCAGAATGTTCTCCTTTTCAGCCCTATGACTGTGTTCCTTCAAACAGTTATACATGAGCAAAACTGAAAGACATCCTGTCTTCAGCTCCTTTCCCAAATCATGCAACCCAGCAGAGGCTATGTGCTGCCAACTAAAGCATCAGGCCAGCAAAGGCATTTCATTCACTATGACCTACTACTAGAGGCATTCTCCATGAGACCTGGTTTATCGGGCAGATTTCTTTCTCTCCCAAAAAAACCTTATTTTAATATGGTAACCTTATTTTAATGCCCTTACTAAGACACTTCTAATCTACCTGGTCAGGCAGTGATTCTAACATTATACAGCTAAAAGATATTTTTTAGTCTGCACACAAGAGATAGTTACAATTTTTAAGGATTAAAGTGATGAGAACTAAGACTGGCGTCACAGTTGAACTGAACCTCCTATGCTATGTAAGAATTTTAGGAACCAGTTATGGTAGTCACCTTAAAATCTCTGAAGGACTTTGGGGGTAATACCATATACTGTGTTTGATAAACTTGAATCAAGCTAGGGAGGGATCAAATTTGTCTTTCTTGTCAACAGATACAGTAGGGAAAGGCTAGAAAGAAAATAATTCTATTGCTTTAGCTCAATTTCTCAAAAATAAAATCTTGGTTTGGTTTAAAGATTTTTATGGTTCTTTTCCGGGCAGAGAGGAATTTTGAGCAATGTGTGAGGAACTATTTGGCCATTTTAATAAAGGAAGACATTACTGATACAGAAACAAGAAGAAATCAGACCTTACAGTAATCTTTACAGATGTAGACCATACCAGCTGAAGATGGTGTAGAGCCAGTGAAGCAATGAAAAGTTGCATTTGGTGAAGTTCTGGCTCAGCAGAAGTGCAGAATGAGGACAAGCAATGCTTTCCTCTATGTTTATTCCCTGAACTGAAGGTGTGTAATTTAAATATTTCAAGGTGACATTGATAGAAGGCTCTAATACTCCGAGGAGTTTTGGTTGGCTACACTGTGCTCTCATTACCATTACATGGACAGTAGACAGACACAAAAGTTGAAGCAAGTGGAAAGTGCTTGAAGGACTGTTGCTATACCTTAGACATTTGGATAAAAGCTGGTGAAATGACTAATAGGCAAAAAGTTTGTAAAACCTGGAAGACAAATGTTAAACACGTTCATATCAACTTTTGACAAAAATACTATTTTAAAAACAGGGGTACACCGGTACTTACCACACGGCAAAGAGTTATCCTCTTCTACTGTCTTATTGTAGACCCAATCCTCCTTTCTCCAGCGTATAACACCACTATCTTCACAGTCCAGAGATTGTTTTATATTTGCTCGATCCCACATTCTGAACATGTACAGCTCCCCAGTCACACCCAGGTTAGGTGACACAGCTGTACCTGGCACCTTTGAACAGCCAAGTAAGAACTGCCCTTTTCCAGGGAAATTAAATTTCCCAGTTAGTTTTTTGTTTTCTTTCTTTGTTCCATTTATGAATAACTTCATCTCCTTATCTTCACTTTTCCACTGGATACATATTTGGTTCCAAGTGTTTTCATGAAGTTCTACTGTTGTATTTATTTCATTTCCAAACAACCATATCCTCAATTTACCATGATCTCCTGTAAGTCCAAGATTGTATTTATCTGCAGAGAGATTTGTGTGAGGTGTTTCTTGACTGTATACATATGCTGTCCAGGGACTATCTGAGGAATACAGTTTGAGGTGCACACAGACAATGAATTCTTTCAAGGGACGCAGAGAAATTCTTGGTGACATAATCCAAGGATCTTCACATGCAGTCTTAAAGACAGCTTTGTATCGTCCTAGGAAATCCTCCTGATCTATACAAAGAAAAGGTGACTTGTAAAATGATTTCTTTTTAAAAATAATCTTCTACATGAATGTTACTCTTCCGTATAGTACTTTGCTAGGCATTTACCTAGGAGTTTTCGAAACCACATCCCTGGTTTCTAACACATCAATAACCCTTGTCTCTGCGGCAGAATGGATCTTCAGCCTCTACCTCCAGAAGATGGCAGACTGACTGATCTCGCTAGCACCCCATCCCTCAAACATTGGCATGCTGCCCCCAGGCTTATCTCTAGCTAGACAAGCTTTATCCCTTTCCCCCTTCAAATTTAGTTTAAAGCTCTTCTAATGAACCCTGCAAACTTCTGTGCAAAGATCCTTCTCCCACTTTGAGACAGGTGTACCCCATATGTTGCCAGCAGGCCTGGTGTCACATAAACCAACCCATTATCAAAAAGAAAATGTCTATCTAGGGCAGCACACAGATGACAAGGGGTAGGCAAAAAGAGAATCACAGATCCTGGTTCCTATTCCCAGGACTGTAAGTGTATTTTGCATTTAATAGATACTGAATAAAATACAGAAACAGTGCTAGAAGAGAATATAGCCCTTCTGCCTTCTCATGTCCCAGGCTTCCATTCTCCTCTGAACAATATCATGCATTTTTTTAAAAGGAAAAAAAGAAGACCCTGGGAAATAGGTCAGTCAATCCCACATCTGTGCCCGGCAGGATCATGGAGCATATCCTTCTGGAAACTCTGCTAAGGCACATGGAAAATAAGGAGGTGGCTGATGACAGCCAACATTGCTTCACTAATGGCAAACTGTGCCTGACAAATTTGGTGGCCTTCTATGACAGGGTTACAGTGCTGGTGGATAAGGGAAGAGTGACTGGCATTATCTACTTGGACTTGCACAAAGCATTTGACACTATCCCACATGACATCCTCTTCTCTAAACTGCAGCAGCATGGATTTGATGGATAGATGACTCAGTGGATAAGGAACTGGCTGGATGGTTGCATTCAAAGAATTTCAGTCAACAGCTTGATGTTCAAGTGGAGATCAGTGACAAGTGGCGTTCCTCAGGGGTCGGTATTGGGACCGGCGCTATTTAACATCTTTGTCAGTGACACTGACAGTGGGATTGAGTACGCCCTCAGCAAGTTTGCTGACAACACCAAGCTGTGTGGTGCAGTCGACAGCCTGGAGGGAAGGGATGCCATCCAGAGCAGCTTTGACAGGATTGAGAGGTGGCCCTGTGCAAACTTTATGAAGTTCAGTGAGGCCAAGTGCAAGGTCCTGCACCTGGGTGAGAGCAATCCCAAGCACAGATACAGAGACTGGATTGAAAGCAGCCCTGAGGAGAAGGACTTGTGGGTATTGGTTGATGAGAAGCTCAACGTGACCTAGCAGTGTGCACTTGTAGCCCAGAAAGCAAATCATGCCATGGACTGCACCAAAAGAAGCATGGACAGAAGGTGAAGGGAGGTAATTCTGCCCCTCTGCTCCACTCTTGTGAGACCCCACCTGGGGTACTGTGTGCAGCTCTGGAGTCCTCAGCACAAGATGGACACAGACCTGCTGGAGCAAGGGCCATGAAGATGGTCAGAGGGCCAGAGCACCTCTTCTAAGAACACAGGCTGAGAGAACTGAATCTAAAAAAAACTCCTACAGGGCTTGTTCAGCCTGAAGAAAGCTTCACAGACACCTTATAGCAACCTTCCAGTACCTAAAGGGGCCAACAAGAAATCTGGAGAGAGACTTAGAACGGCAAGTAGGGATAGGACAAGGGATAACAGCTTTACAATGAAAAAGGGTAGATTTAGGTTAGGTTCTGGTGTCCTCAACATAAAAAGGACATGGAACTGTTGGAACAAGTCCAGAGGAGGGCCACGAGGATGATCAGGGGACTGGAGCACCTCCTGTATGAAGACAGGCTGAGAAGTTGGGACTGTTCAGCCTGGAGAAGAGAAGGCTGCATGGAGACCTCAGAGCAGCCTTCCAGTATCTGAAGGGAGCCTATAGGGATGCTGGGGAGGGACTCTTCATTAGGGACTGTAGTGACAGGACAAGCGGTAATGGGTTCAAACTTAAACAGTGGAAGTTTACATTGGATACAAGGAAGACGTTCTTTACTGTGAGGGTGGTGAGGCACTGGAATGGGTTGCCCAGGGAAGTTGTGAATGCTCCATCCCTGGTGGTGTTCAAGACTGGGTTGGACAGAGCCTTGGGTGACATGGTTTTAGTGTGAAGTGTGCTTGTCCATGGCGGGGGGGTGGAATTAGACAATCTTAAGGTCCTTTCCAACCCTAACTATTCTCTGATTCTGTAAGGAAGTTCTTTATTATGAGGGTAGTGAGGCACTGGAATAACCTCCTAGAGAAGCTGTGGCTGCCCCAACCCCTGGCATTGTTCAAGGCCAGGTTGGATGGAGCTTTGAGCAACCTGCTCTAGTGGAAGGTGTCCCTGCCTGTGGCTTGGCACTAGATGATCTTTAGGATCCCTTCTAACCCAAATCATTCTATGATGCTATGATTTTTATTTTTTTTTCCCAGCCCTGAGATTTTTAAGTCCTGTGCTGCATAGCAGAAGAGTTTCAGCAAGAAAGGTAGAAAATAGCCATATTCTAGAAGGGAATGAATTTCAAGTAACTTTCAGAAAATGTGTTTTGGTATATTTTGAATTTCATCCCATCCAGCTCCTATTCCCTGTTCTCTACCACGGCACTTACTTGCAGAGACATCTGGTCTGTCAATTGCTAGCCTACTGAGGCATTGAGGTGCCAGCAACTCAGAATTCAACCGTGAGAGTAAATAAAATTTAAGGTGCTAACAGTAAATTTACTGTCGAAAACAAGGTTTCAGGCTCTGTCAATGCTGGTAAAATAAGCAGTGCCAGAGAATACCCCAAACATTGGAACTTGATCATATTTGTTAAGTTTTGGTAGGTGCCTCATTTCCTCTACTGTCCCACTGAAGGAAGTACAGGTTTTTGTGGCTATAAGCATAAGCTCTTTGGAGTCAACTCTTATTTTGTGGAAAAATGCACATTTCGACAATACAATCATTATCATGATTGCTTGCTTTATGGTGCACCCATCAGCAACAAAATACATCCAATCTAAGAAAAACTCCTACAGCGCATAAAATGTTAAGTACAGAAAAATGAAACAGCTTGGTAGATACTCAGCCAACACAAGAGAACACATTACTAACACCTTTAGGAGGCATTTATTTATCAATATATGCAGAGCTTTTATGTGCCCTCCAGAGGAGACAGGTGATTAATAATGATTGGTGAGGGTTGGATAGCAGGAAAAGATCAGCCAATATAGGGGGAAATCTCTTCCATTAGCTCCCTGCTGAAAGACAAATTTCCAGGCACTTGGAACAGTTTATGGTGTTGGGTTTTTTTCCCAAGGTGGGTTACAGTCATAGTCCTAGCTAACTTTCAAGGTCACAGCTCACTCTTTTGTGATATTTGCAACCAACCAGAGCACCAGCTTTCATCAGGCCAATTCTGACTCCTCTGTGTCTTGACCAGAGCACTTTCAAATTTCTTTTTCAATAGCAACAAATTAAATCAGGAGGCTCCTAACTTCCAAGTGCAGCTTAATAGGTACAAGCCACCAGAAAAAGTTTGACACATAAAATAAATCAATCCAATTTCATGGGAAGTCATTAATAATTATGCTTGTTGCATACTATAGCTTTGACGCTGTGGCGCTAATTAGCAGAAACCTGTAGGCATCTTTCACAACCCTGAATCATTCTTGAAGTGTGTGAATGAGTGCACGACTCATATACCCTCCAAAATTCCTGTCTTGAGCATGCAGGGATGGCCAAAGTGGTTAGGGAAGTTTCCTGACATAGCTTCAAAACCTGAAGTCATCGTTAACTACTCAGATCAGAAGACTGTAAATCCATTCTGGAGCAAAAATGTTAATCAAGACTTGAGGTACCATCAGCAGACTTGATTTTGGAAGTGAGTGAGTTCTGAGACAGGCTTGATTTCATGTTAAACATTAAAATGGCTCTATGATTGATTAAAAACCGTGCTTATGTGCTAACAGTGAATCAATTAAAGGGCTGCAAAATCCTGTTACATTCTTAAGGGGAGTTGACGCTATGAAGTTGTCAAAGGAAGTCAGAGTGGACATAAACTTGCAGGTGAAAACAGTCTTACAGCAGGTAACCAGCAAAAATAATGTAAAATGAGATCAATCCTGCTGATGATTCTCCTAGTCTGCTTTGTATCACTCAAAAAGACTGATGTTGATCAGAATGCAAGGCCCAACAAATTAATTCAAACTAAGAAAAGAGTTTACTTAAAGAGATCTACCCTTCTGGAAACTGGAAAGTCTGGACTACTTCGCTCTAAATAGTTAAAAAAAAGTGCCAAAAGGGGTGCCAAAGTTAATAGAAAGGTACCAATACTACCTGAATTATTACAAGAAAGGCTTGGAAAATTTTATATGGTTTGCCTACCCAAAGAATGCTGAAAAGCACAAAGGAAATCATAACCATGGAACACTGAAATGCATTTTCTAAGTGGAACACATGCAGTACAGCATTGAATTAGTTGGAAATTAATTATCATCACCATCCTGAGTAAGTCTGATACATGGGTGGATGCAACGTAAGGAGGAGATGACATTACTTTAATGCTTTTGGAAGTTCTGTTAATCATCACTTATTTTCTCTCCTAACAGTAGCTGTGGTCTGCAACCTGCCCTCAACCATAAAACCAAGGAGCTACAACTGGCTGTGCTCTGACAGTGGCATTTCTGGCTTACAATTATTTCCTTTGGGTTCAGACGACAGAAATCAGACTCAGAAACCCAGCCATGTTTATCACCACAGATCAGAAACACAGCATAGTAGAAGGAATGCTCAAAACATCTCCAGAGTAAGAAAAATTAGCGAAAAATCACAATTTGGAGTCAAGGAAACTCCATGCAGTTGTAACCATGGGCTGACTTTTCAATGTCATTTGCTGTAGTCAGGCACTTAAACTCTTTCAGAAATACAAATTGTTCCTTCTTAATATTTTTCTCTCTAATAGATGCAGGAACTGGGGTTTTTACCCTCACTAAAGCTAACAGTAACCACTTAATGTTCTCTTAAGCCCTAAAAGAAACCCTGAAATGTATGCACATACTTTCAAATACTAAAAATAAACTTTATCAGAATGACAAGGTAATGGAAATGTAAACCAAAACATGTATTTTTTTCAAACATATTTGGATAGTGATAATTGATATTTTTACAAGAGAGAGCCAACCACAGGTGGTAAGAATTAGACATACAGAAGCAGATTCTCCCAGTACATAAGCAGCACTGTTGTTTTCCTTACATTACTAATAGCTATTGTACCAGTATAGTTGAGCATTAATATACTTGAGTATTCTCTTGAATAAAAATAGTCACAAGTTTATGTGTCTTCACAATCTGGCTTTTAACCAGCAACAATAGTCAATTTCTATCAAGTGCTTGCCACCTGTAACACATTTGGTTTACTACAGTCCACTACAATGACATCACAAGAACCTTGTAGTCTCACGTATTCTGCCTAGATCTTGTGACAGCTCTTTATAAAAACTTTAAAACTCTAAGCTTTCTACATATGGGTCACCTGATCCTACTGATTGTTTTGGAAATCTAAAGCTAAGAACTGTTTCCTCAAAATGACTTTCAGTCCTCCTCTTCATTGACACTTCTATTTGGATATGGGGATAAACTACATCACATTATTCAGTGTCCTAAATATCAGAAAGAATACAGGCAGTTCCTCTTTCTTTGTATTTCCTGGAGAATACAAACATACTTTTGCACCTTGGATGGGGAGAGAACATCCAACCATCTGCTGAGCAGCCCTGCCCTTTTTGCTATTCAAAGTACACAAGGTTAAAATCTCACCATCATAATAACTGGTTTGTCACCTGAATGTCAACATGTGTCTCAATAAAAGCTTCATTTTATGAAAATTACTACATTTGGAGAACTAGAATCAGAATTTATCTAGTCTGTAAATGTATGACATTTTATTGCTAGTACAATGTCATTAAGCAGGCATACTTACTAAGCACATTTAAACTGCAAGAAACTCTGATCTTCCAGAGCCAAAATAACGCACCATGACATAGGAAGCAGTTTCTAAAATATCCATTAAGTACATGGAAAAAACCACTTCTAAATTTTTTAATGTTCCATGCACTTTACTAACATGATGAATGTATTACACACCATTGACATAAGGAAATTTCACAAATGACAAGCACAGTTGTCGTCTGTAAATGTAAATTGTCATTTGCAAATGTAAATTGTAAATTGTAAATCTACATCAGTTGAGATCCAGAGTGGCAGTAGACAATAGACTTGTATCTGCCAGCTTACAGAATAGCCATGAATAAAACACATATTGCTTATTCTTCTGTACCTCGTACAAAAGCATTACCACGTCAGTTACGCAATTTGTACAAGAACCATAAGAATTTATTTTTCATTTACTGTTATACAAAGAGTAGACTGTCAAAATCAAATGCACCATTTCTGTTACACGTTTTGGATCTTTCTATCCTTTCCCTAGCCATATTCAGCACAACCAAGAGCAATGCAGGAAATGTTCCGTGCTCATACATGCACTGAGTGAACCTCAAAGGATCTTGTGGTGTTTGTGTAAGAACACTGTGAAAGATTTAATAACATGTGAAAATAGTAACACTTCTAGTGCAAAAATAGCTAGAAAGTAATTCTCCTTGTTATTACGTACTGGGTTTAGGTCTTGTCCTCATCCATAGCTGAAAAGAAGTTACCACTGGTGATTTTTTATGAAAACAAATGCTCCAAGCATAGGGTTTGTATATCCAAAGTGTTGAGCACAAAGTGGTTTATTGCTTCTTAATGACAGTTTTTCCTCTTGATTTCAAGGGGGCAGAAACTTGTCTGTTCCTATTCATCAAGTCTAATGCTATTTATTTGGAATACCAACATTAGATAAATGAGGAAAGTATGTCTTACCTTTGCCTGCTGTAGCCAGGAACAAATGAAGTAAAAGAATTGCTAGAACAATCCTGAATCTCAAGAAAATGTCCTGTATTCTGCAAATGCAGCAGTGCTCTTTTCCCCAGACAGCCATTCTAAAAGGAAAAAAAGCACAAAAACCAAACAATAAAACAAAACACAGTGACTAAAAAAGTGCAGGTGTACAGATATTATGATAAATTATGTTTCCAATCCAAGAGTGTAAATCTTTCCAACCCTGTTACACTATTGGGTATACAGCATACAGAAATGCACAGATACCTTGTACATTGCCAAGTTGCTGAGAAAGAAAGAGCTGTTTGCTTAAAGCAAAAAACAAAACAAACCCAGTTAAGATCGAATTCTCCAAAGCCTCACAAATACATCAGAGCACAGCCATAAGTCCTTGCACAAATAAGGCTTTCTACATTTGAAAAACAAACAAACAAGGAACAACAACCACAAAAGACCCACACACAGGAAAAATGAAAACAAAACCAACTAAAAGCAGCCAGACAGCAAGCTTGGAGATATTATCCAAAAGCTTTGATAATCTCAGTCAGTATACACAAAGCATCTCTTCAGTCCCCTACCTAGAAAGTTCTATCACCTGACATTTTAATAGCAGCATAGTGAACCCCTAAGGAAGAATCAAGAGACTGATTCTCATCATCTCATTCTCAAGGAAAGAAGCAAAAAATATGAGAAATGCCTCAAGTCATTGTGGGCAGCAAGTTCATGGACAGTATAATGAAAACCTGATTTGTTCACATTTCTTCCTAGTGATGGGTACCAACCGGGAGTAATAGGACATGGTGGTGGAAAAAGAATATACCTTTTACTATAAGAGATAAATTTCTATGAAATTGTACACTTCTTTTTTAAAGAAATCTTTTCAAAAGAGTACATCTTTTGATTTTATATGCTAAAAGAAATGCTACGTGAAGTGTGCTTTTTGCATGCATTATTTCTTAAACATCAATGTTTAGAGATACATAGGTTACAAGTGATTCTGTAACTGGCTCTTGAAACAAATGCAAAGCAATAAACTTTATGTATTTTTTATCAGCTTTATGGTACACAGAAGAATCCTGCATGACACCAGAAGTTTAACTTTACCATCATGTTTGATGCATATATGAGTGTATGTTAGCATTCATACTGCTTGCAAACTTGACTGTATTTTTGCACATGCTATACCAGGCTATAATAGGTTTCCTTCTTTTCAGGGACTCTAAATTGTGAACTCTTTCAGGATATGTCACCAGTGTGTGCACAGTTGGAAAACAGTCCAGGTTTCTCGCACATCACTTTGAGTACAGCTGTACCATGCAGTCCCCTTCAAGGATGGTTACAGAGGCACAGACTTCATCCCTTCTGCCTTCCAGCTGTGTTTATAAAACAAGCCCAGTTTCTTGGGGCACCCAAAGGTCATTGAATCATACAACGGTTTGGGTTAGAAATGCCTTAAAGATCATCCACTTCCAACCCCCCCCCCTTTCTGTAGGCAGGGACACCTTCCACTAGATCAGGTTGCTCAAAGCCCTGTCCAACCTGGCCTTGATCACTTCCAGGAATTGGGCATCTACAGCTTGGGGCATCTGGACAACTTGTTCCAGTACCTCACTACCCTCACAGTAAATCACTTGTACCTTATATCCAATCTAAATCTACCTTTTTTCAGTTTAAAGCTATTACCTCTTCTCCTATCACTACTTTCTAGGTAACAGACATTCTGGAAACTGATTAAATGTACACGCAAATAAATTATATACCTACAATAACATAACAGGAAACAAAGCAAAGGCTTCTGAAAAATTAGAGCACTGCAACACCGTTGCCAGACAGTGTTTTCAGTAATTACAGAAAAATACGAACATTGTGATTGCACTGAAACAGACTAACCTGGATGATGACACATACTGCCTCCTCTCTGCAGATTCTGGATGCTACATTTAAAATCTAAATAGACTAAGGCAGTTGTCAAATTGACTAACATCTGCATGGGTGTTAACCAGCAAGAAGAAGGGCTGCTCATAAAACTAATACAAAAATCAAGCATCCTAAAGCTGACAAAAAATAAACCAATGGACACAGCTAATGCACACAAACCTATGCAGGAACAGACCAAAATCAACTCACCAACCAAACAAAAAAAGTTGAAAAAGCAAGAAATTTTAAAGGCAGGCTAGCTTTCTGAAGATTCACATGAAACACATCCAAATCTGTCTCCAGCTTGCTTCTCTCGAATGCCTTAAAAATCATGTTTTGAAAAGGGTGTTTAGCCAGCTAACCAAGTAGCAAGCTTTTTTCAAGTCACACTTACTTCATCCATAGTCTGGGGCTCATTCTGTCTACTTCAATACTTATGCCCAATAAATTTACAGAATTTCCTTCTGAGGAGGAGGGTAATAGTGAATGGTAAGCCTCTGGCTGTTGTTCTGTAACAGTCTGCACTATTCAAATCTATACCAGGTGATTAAAGGCAGAAAAGAGCAAGAGAAACATTGTATTGTCCAGGTATGAAAACTTCTTGATGCCTTTAATTACTTTCAGAAATGCAAGACTGCAGACTTCTTCCATCAACACCCTGCATTTTCCAGACTGGAACCAAAACCTAGTAAAGTTTTTATTTTATTTTTAAATTTTGGCTGAAGCAAGTCAGATGTAATAGGGAGGACACTTATGTTGGAAAGTCTTACGTCACTGTGAATTCTGGCACATACTGTGTTCACTGACTTAACAGCAGAAGTAGCACCGTTGATTTAAGAATGTTGTTCCACAGGGGGTTTTTTAATGCGTTTTTCCAGAAGACAGTAATAGGATTATTACTGTCTGATAATAGCTTGGTTTTCATTAATTTTCTTCAGTGTTTATCAAAGACTGTAAAAACAAGCATACTGTGTCCTATACAGTCACTTTATGCAGAACACCAGCTTTTTCTAAGACTGCAATGGCAGTGTGTGAAGCCAATTCAAGGAACTTACAAACACATCCTCCTGACAAATCTTTACTGTTTTGAAAGATATTAAATATTTCACCTTTTAATAAATCAGCTTACAGAGAGCAACAAGACACTTAGTTACAGGCATCAGCCTTCTGTGAAACTCACAGCTCACTGGTTCAGTTTTTAACAGAAATAAGCAGGAGGAAAAACTCTCCCAGAAATCCATTTCAATTTTCAGCAGTATTTCAACTGCTTCAAGATACTGGCTTTAGACTCAATTTTATTTTACTTTGCAAATACCAAGCTGTGCAAGCCAAGGTCCTCCCTCAGTTCAACTCACAGATCTCCCCTTAGATTCACATAAAAGTGTAAGCTTAATAATTAAGGTTTGTACAAACACATTCATGATTGTAATATTCCATTGGATGGCTCCTGATTAGATATTTCAATGCCAAAAAAGCACTTTTGGTACTTAATTCCCTCTTACAACAACTTGTGTCATTGTATATAGTGCAAAAATGGAAGAGAGGACAATTTAAAGCAAGTTTTTGTTCCCTCTTACCAGTTTGGCAATGATTTACCTCCTCATATCCAGCAGCCATCTGGGAGATGAGCAAGAGGCCTCTTTCTAGCTCTCATAAAAGTTCTACATCAAGGAAACCCTCTTCAGCATTGTGTATTCCCTCAAAAGAACAGTATTATCCACACACTCTATTAAATCTTCTAGAGCAAACTATAAAGTCCTTCAGTGACAATACGTGAGCAATTTTACAATTCAAAGACATTACAAAATACTTAGGGAGCATAAGAAAGCAGAGGTGTAATAAAGTAGTTTCATTTGTCACAAGCGTATTTACTTCAGCTACAGACATGTTGCTTATATTTTTATTAATAATACTTTGTGGTTTTGAGGTGTATAGATTTCATGGAGAGGATGTAAGAAAATGAGTGCTCTGCAGAGTAGAAGACTGGACATACAATAAAGACTACGGAAGGGAGGGAGGGAGGGAGTGAATAAATGAATGCTAAGTATGCACCTTAAGCCATGTAAAAGGCATGTGGAAGAGTGTAAAATGATGTAAGCATAGAAAAGTAGACAAAGTTTTGCAAAACCTTCATGTTTTGTAACAGGACTTGAATTTGATGGAGAAATAGGGAAGGACAAAGACTTTTCTAAAGGTGGAATACTGAAATCAGTGAACAATATAAGCAGGATGTAAGGAATCAAGTGAGAGTCAAACATGCCAGAAGGAAGACTGTTCGGCTTATGCTTTCGATTTTCCTGCTTTTCAAAAATGAGACTTGAAAGTTTATTTCATCTTAGTGTAAGGGAGAAGGGGAGGTAGGAGTTGTTTCTGCCTTTCCTTCCCTACTCCCCTTTCCACGCTGTCTTGGTAGCACCCTAAAACAGAAATTATATTCTGGTTTCATCCTAAACTTCACTTTATGGACTTAGCAGGTCTCTTGGATCTTGCATTTGGAGCTGTTAAAATTTCTCTGGAAGGTTTCTTGTTTTGGTTTTTTTTCTAAACAACCTCTCAGACTGTTGTAGTTAACAGCCCAATGACCAAAACTGATAGTTTCTTTGTACCAAAGAAATAAAGCTCATTTGTTTTGACAGACAGAAGAGCTGAAGCAAGTGCCTTCCAGGATGATTAGGAATACGGCATCATTACCCTAAGGAAATACAGTCACCTTTGCACCTCAGTCCTTGAGAAATATTTAGGGGTCCTCTATTAAGACATCTGAGGAAACAGGGTTATGACACAACAGTATCCTGGGCCTCTTTTAACACTGCTCTTCCTTAAGGTACAATGTAAGTCTATGGAGCACCGGGGAAAGGACAAACCCCATAATCAGTTGTCAGGGAAAATGAGGCAGCTAAGTTCTGACTAGAGCCCATGTTAGACCAATACAACTGGAAAAAGTTAGTCATCAGCAATCATTCTTAAATTCTTGAAAGTCATCACACAACAGTCGATGATTTCAAAGCAACTTAAGAATTTATTTAAACCAGCACCATTTCTGTGTACAGTCCCCATGAATGCATCGGCTCAGAAAACTTACTTTTTACAACCATGCTGCACATGGCTTCTTTCACCACCACCACGTCTATGAAAAAAACAATTAGCCTTCTTACAAATAAGCCACACTAACCACAATGCTGACTTGCTGAAA